ACCATACCATCAAGGTCAACAAATATTACGAGCTCACAAACGAACTCACTCGAAATAGGTTCGTAGTAGATTATGTAGTTATAAATAATAAAATCGTAGTAATTCGAGAATATTACTTTAATTTAAATATGCGCATATATTAGGAAAGATCTTATTAAACCACGCGTTTTATGTATTAATGAAATATCAAGCTCATATACATATAATTTTTAAAGTATGTACACAAATTTTGTTGTTTTTTTTTTCAGATAACTCGAAATTTAATGAAATTTCAAATATGTCTGCTATATATAAAAAAATTTGGTAATTAAATCGTTGAAAACTATCATATATAACTTTATTAATATTATTACTGAATATTTTCTAATACATATTTTATATACACTTCAGTTTTCTTGATTAGATCAAATCTAACATTGTATGAGTATTATTGAATGGCGTAAATATATACTTAAGAGACACTTATATATAGTATATATATTATATATGTATATGGTTTTTATATAACTCACCTATTTATGAAGAATTCGTAACAAAAAAACACATAGTGTCTGTACATAACCTATTTTACTTATAATACTAAAACAACACTATGCTCCCAATTCCCAGAACAATTTCAGGGAATAATTAAAAAAACTCATTATGCCCAAAAAATATATCCAACAAAGAGCCCTTGTAATTAATTGTAACGACAAGATGCCGAGGAAGGAGCTGGGGACGGAAACTCTCAAGGTGTGGCAGCCCTTGTCGGATATAGTAGGATTTATTGAAATATGGATTTGGGAGTGTTGGATATATAGAAAATGGATATATAACAAATGTTAAATGTTATTATATTATTATTAGTCTGCGTCTCTCTCTTCTACCTGGCAATTTCCTGGCTATAGCCAGGTTCTGCCTTACATGTTGTGAATAGTTTTGGCTAATTGTTTTTACGACCGACCTCCTGCCTGACATCAACCCTCTTTTGGGAATCAGCATTAATCAGTGATGTCTAAATATTCTTAGAAAGTACATATGACTCGGATAAATCACATTGGTACTTGCCCGGGCCAGGATCGAACCCGCGCCCTCGGCAACGAGAGGCAAGCCCTCTAACCATTAGGCCACCACTGACTGACCATTATTAGTCTGCGTGTATAGTGATAAATATAATAATAAAATAAAAAATAATAAAAATTCTTTATTTCCTTTAACAAGTTTGTACTTAAATATAAAGTTATTGGAATTTCCTTTTAAGCATATGAAAAGCCTGTGCCAGGAAACTCCACTCTTCCATATCACGAATTAGATACAAGATATTTAAGGTACAACAATAATAAAGAAACAATATAAAAAAGTATGTAATAAGAGAAGTAAATATATATACGAAATTACTCGTTTTAACCGAATTTTCCTAAATATATATAAAGTTAAATAATAATTTAATTAATTGAACGTTTAACTAAACGGTCAATTTAAACTTCATTAATAATAAAATTTAACAGTGATATTATTATGACAATATCAAATGTACCAATTATATTATCCAACCAAAATTACTTGTATATCTTTATACAGGGTGACTGGTGAATTACTATCGATATTTGAGGACGTGATATTTGACGATCATATATGACAAAATAAAAATTAATATAACATAAATATTAATAAACTTCTAAGTAAAGTTAACCAAAAGTTGTGTAATTAATTACGCATCGTATGAACACCCTACAGATTAGGTATACACATACACTCACACATACGTGGCGAGGGCGTGGTTTTGTATCAGCACGCCGCCGCACGCGTCCACACTTGGAACACTTGGAACGTGTCAACACTTTATTTATTTATACGGAAATTTGGTCAAAAATTAAGTACCTATTTTTTTTACATAATTCGAATGAGAATCATGTACCGAGTATGCTCCTTAAATATTGATAGTAATTCACCAGTCACCCTGTATATAAGTATTTTATTTAAAATATAATATATATTATTCCTTATTCTACATATACATATATAATAGACATGATTACAAAATATTTTCTTTAAAATATATATGTAGCCTTGTCACTACGTATGGAAAATTAATAGTTTTCAATTCATAAGTATGCTCGCATAAATATTGGCTCCTTAAACCTACACCTGGGTCACAAGTCCCAGTCACTGTTGAAGCTCCTCTCACTACAACGATGGACCCGACACACGCACCGTGAATACATTGAATGAGAGGTTTTGTCTCATAATCTTGTTGAATCAGAAATAGGAAACGCTTCGTATGTAGTGACGGTGCAAACTTAAAGTAATACTTATGAGATCTAAAACTTACGCGAGTTTTATTCATTTAAATGAATAAAATATTTTTCGGATATGTCCATATTCACGGTTGCTTAAAAGTAGCCGAACCGTGGGTAGTATGTATTTTTTTTACAAAAATAAAGCACGCATAGTATATCCGAGAATATTAATTTCATTTATAGTAATACTGTTTCAGCTCAAAATGTTGAACTGTAATATTTTGTACAAAATTAGTCAGAAGAACGTCATATATTTATTTTATATTTAAACATTATTTACTTCTTATTTATTATATATTGAAAATATATGTATAAGTCTTTAATATCGGTTTTCTTGTAAAGTATTCTTCAATATACAGTAGACTGTATCTAGAAAATACATTTCAAGAATTCATCTACGTAAATAATAATGTTTTCAAATGCTACTTAATCTAGATCCAAGCCAATCTAGTTGAAAGCAATCTACATCTAATTGGAATTAATTCGTGTAGTCAAACAAGATATTGTGGTGTCTCAAATAAATAATTGCTAAATTTATGAATGAAGAATAACTAACTTGGACACTTTCTCGCAGCCCGAAATCTCGGTTGTTGTAAAGAAACAGAAGCGTGGGGAGTATATAGATATAAAATAATAAAAAACGAGTATTATACGTAAAACTTAGTTTCATTTAAATGAATACACGCGAAACAGGAGATTTTTAGATATCATTAAACAACCTTCAAACCACAGCCTCTTTAACGTGAGGAGTATAGCTCAAACCTTATAAAAATACAAGAATATAGTAGGCTTTTCACTAAGTTATATACATAACTTTCTTTTAAATATTTGTGAAATAACAAGACTAACTGCCAGGACTTTTTCATCTGCCCGTGATCACTGTTACTATAAAGGAACCGAAACGTCGGGAGTATATAGATATAAAATAATAAGATACTCGTAGTATACGAAAAACTAACTTCAATAAATGATTTCTATCAAAAATCTTAGTTATCATTATGGTATAAAACATTTACTTTATATTTATATAATTAAACAACATTAAAATCACAGCCTCTTTATCTTAAGCATTAGTCAAACCTTATAAAATTACAAGACATATATTGTATGTATTTTGTCTTTATATATATGTATATACAACTTGTTATGAGATTTCATCTTAGAGCGCAATGCTCTTTCAACGTTATTGATCCCACTATTACACAGGAGCAGACTGTCTTGAGAACATCACCAATACAGACATTATATTATAGAAGGAAAAATAAATACACTTATATTATAGTTCAAAATAAAAATGTTTATAAATATTACTATGGAAACATCAATGAAATAAAGCTTTATTAATTCTTATTGAAATAGATACGTAATTATGTTTACTTTTAAAATAAATTAAATTCATTAATTTTATAAATAAAACCATCTTAAAATCACATTTCGAGGATTAAACATATATTTTCAATTATATTTGTAGAACTGTATCTAAGTAAAAATGTATTTTGTATATTATATATGATGAAAACCCACATATTAATATATACAGGGTGTAAATAATGTATAGGGTTGTATCAACATCGTATGATACCAGATCCGGGTAGTGTATCGACCCGGGTGTGACGCGGGGCGTGAACGATCGATCAGACGCCTTAGATACGGATATCTTAAAGTCATCTCGTTATCCGGGTAACGGTGAACCTGAAACAATAACAAAACAAACACCATGTATATGAAGACGTATATGTACCTATACTTTGGTTTGTAATTTGAATTCGACTGTAGAGGATAAAAGAAAATTTTGAGCCTTCATTGGGCCTGAATTGGTATAAAATTTAAATTCGCTATATATTATTGTTTTATATTCATAATTATAGTTTTTTTGACTGGAAGTCTTTATGACCAAATAATATTTTATAACGCCACCTTGAATCCATCCTAAATTCAACGTTCAGGCTCTATTATATGAGAGGAGCGTTAAATGGCATAGTGTAGTGATGCATAGTGTATCGATCGGACACGGCCGGGTAAGCCCGCTCGATACCCGGATAAAGGGTCAAGAGTCAAGACCATGGTAATACAAGCGTCTATTACACGGATATACCCGGATTAATAAAACTTAATACCTCTGGCATCCGTATAGTATGTATATTGTCTCATAAGGATATTAAATTTAAGATTTAATGTCTAAGAAAGTTATAAAATTTATGACAAATAGGTTAAGTTATTTTTTATATTAATCTTATGTTTTAAGGAGCATTAATTAAAAGCTTTTTACCTTAGACCAAAAGTATCAACACATGGTCGTACAGAAAAATTATTGCCTGTATAATCTATTGGAACCATGCAAAATATTCACCTACCTACTTCTTATATATAAAGTTTTCGTGTCACAATGTTCATTCCCGTACTCCTCCAAAACGGTTTGACCGATTCTCATGAAATTTTGTGAGCACATTCAGTAGGTCTGAGAATCAGCCAACTTCTATTTTTCATACTCCTAATTGATAAGTGTTATTCACCCATAATTCTATTAAATTTTGGAAGATTTTTTCTATTTTCATTTTTTTATAATGTGGTATTCAAAAATGCATACAAACTCAAATTTTTTACCTATTATCACCAACCTCTAATTTTTATTGCAAACCATCGTTTGCCGGGTCAGCTAGTCATATATGAATATATGTGCTATAATAAACAAAAATTATATTATATAAAATTCATCCGCAGGTCACGGCGGGGTTAATCAATTAGGTGGAGTTTTTGTTAACGGGAGACCTCTGCCTGATGTGGTGCGTCAGAGGATAGTGGAACTGGCTCACAGCGGAGTCAGACCCTGCGACATCAGCAGGCAGCTCAGGGTCTCACATGGATGTGTCTCCAAGATACTGTCACGGTAAGTATGGAATATGATTCATAGGATAGGAACACCATACTGTTAAATATATTGAGGACTTTGCCAAGATTTTACAGTGTTTGCATATATAATTATTATTTATTGATCTCAATTTGTTCTTCTTCTTCTTCTGCCTAGCAATTTCCCAGCTATAGAGCCAGGGTCTGCCTTACATGTTGTGAATAGTTTTTGGCTATTTGTTTTTACGACCGGCCGCCTGCCTGACATCAGCCCACTTTTGGGAATCTACATTAATCAGTGATGTCTAAATACTCTTAGAAAGTACATATGACTCGGAAAAATCACATTGATACTTGCCCGGGCCAGGATCGAACCCGCGCCCTCGGCAACGAGAGGCAGGCCCTTTAACCACTGAGCCACCACTGACTTGATCTCACTTTGTATTTTCAACTAATTATGTTTAGATACAGTGTTTGCTTTTAACAGATTTTACACAATCTATGCATGTTATTAATTTATATGTAACTTTATTTAATTATTCATTTGTGTAAAAATCGCTAGTGAACTTATAAATAAATAAATAAATATACCCAAAGGCAGTTTGAAATTAATCGACTATACTTTATAGTACAGGAAAGTCACACTGTTTCATACATTAGATTTTGCAGATGTTTTAAGGTGATTTTGAATAACTGTAGTTATCCGAAAGCAGTTCGAAAGGAATAGAACCATTATTGGGAATTCGTATATTCCTCTGATTTCATTTCGTAATATATTAGGAACTTTTACGGAAAGCAATCAAGTAGAAGTTTCGTTTAAGAACAAAAGTATTCAAATTGTAATATTCTCACTAGTCCGCGTATATTATGGCATGTTTTTCTAACTGGATACGCATATTTTATTACAATCTAATAAGTTTTGATTTCCGAAGATAACAAAAGTCGTTGATAGAATATTGGTATTTGGAATTTCTTTATTGTATACCGGAATAAATGACTATAAAAAACAGTTTAAGAATGATAATAATCTATTTTAGGGATGGTATTTTATATGATAAAAGTCTTATTAAAGTAAGTAGTTGAAAGCGGTACAGTTTTCTAATCTATAATAATTACTTATTAGAATAAAAGCTTTGATATTTCAAAGAATATGTCTCGTTGTCAATCTAGCACCAACAGGATATTACAATTTTAATATTGCTTGTCATCTGAACAACCACAATACCAAGACAAAAAATAGAATTATCCCTGACAAAAAGCTAGTTACCAATCCCTTGTTCCTTAAAAGGAAATCATTTTATTATTCAAGTAACTTCTTTGATTTTAACAGTAGGATATATTTCAATATTACACGTATGGCGTATTAGTCGATTTATTTAATACTGAAAATTTTACAACTTAATATATATATAAATATTTAGTAAATCTCTATATAAATCTGACCGTAATACATATCCTCTATATATTAATTAGTGTGACAATTGTGATCGTGAACAATGCGTTCAGGGGTGTGCCGGCGCGTGCGCAGCTTGTGGCTACATCCGTTAGACAATACATTCACATACAACACAATACACACTTTATTACTTGAAAATAAGGTTCATTTTCCTATATATCATATAATGATGAAGTTGAAGATTCTTTAACATTTACGTGATTTTATGTATAATTTAGTGACGAAATCATTATCTTGCTCAATTCATTGAGGTCAGTAAAAGGATATAAGCAAGTAGAAGTAGCGTTCTGTATTTTAGGAGAATTGTTGAGATTTAATAGAAAATATGTGAAATACGAAAATGTTTGTTTAAAAGTAAATTACTGCATTACATAAAGTACAGGTTTGTTGTGTTAAATAATGTTAAAAGGAATTTTTTTTACGTAACTTTGTTATATTCACTATATATGCCTATATACTTACACACCAAATTTTGTCTATTATTCTCGTCATAATGACCAGTTTTTTTACCTATATATTTAAAAAGTCGATTGTGTCATACTCAAAGAATGCTTCTACATATTAAGCGTAACAAAACAAACATACATGTTGCTTGAAATATAAATATGAAAGGTCATTGACCTCAAATCAGGTCATTCACCCTGAATCCAGTTATTAAGTTAATATTAATTAATGAAGTTATAACTTAATCTTATTAACAGAGTTAAATCGCTGCGGTTAACCAATGATCACTCCCCATAATGAACATTACCGCGGACTACTTGTGTTACATGTAAAACACTTTACGAATGTGTTTCATTGAACAAGTTAAATTATGTTAAAAAACTAGGTTTTTTTATAGTATTTTAATGAAATGTAAGTCTTTTGAGATTTTTCATTTAAATGAAACTAGTATTCTCGGATTTATAACGCGGTTTTAATAATTTAAGATACCGCCGTGATATTTTCGTCTCGTCTGCCCGTGATCATAGTCACTGCTAAGTAACTGAAACGTTAGGAGTATGTAGTTTGAAATAATGAAAAGGCGTATAATCGAATATATACATATATATTCGATACACACATGTGTATTATATAATATAATTTACAAATCACTCTGCTAAGTATATTGGTTAGTACGCAAAATTATAATCGATAATGCATGTAAACACATAGTAAATATTGTATTTGTATTACCATAGTAATATAAGATTGGAATGGAAGAAATAATATGGCACTATCTTTCCCAAAGACATGTATAAAAAATATATATGTAATGTCACCATTGAAATGAAACAAAAAACAATTAGTAAATTACTAAATATAAGAGTAATATTATTTTTAATTTTTTTTAACTTGAATAATATTTATGTATAGAAAATATATAGTATTTTTTCGTGAAATAAATCGTAAATAATTTTGAATTCATTTGAAACAGCCACGTTTTTACAGTTATACGTAAAAATAAATAAACTTTAATTTAATTTTTCGTACAAAATATCGAATTATTTCTGTTATAATATTGATATGAATATATTTAACAATATCCGTTTAACAATACGAATGTAATAAACAATTCAAAACGTACAAAGACAATGGTCGTACAACACAATCATATGAACGGCGGACCGGCTATTGTTGGGCTTAAATTGAAACTGAACATAGTGATGTACAGACGGACATACTGACTACATATATATTAAAAAACATATATGTATCTTCTTCTTTCTGGCAATTTCCCAGCTTCAGCCAGGGTCTGCCTTACATGTTGTGAATAGTTTTAACTTATTGTTTTTACGCCTGCCTGATATCAACCCTCTTTGGGAATGCATTAATCACTGATGTCTAAATATTCTTAGAAAGTACATATGATTTGGAAAAATCACATTGGTGCTTGCTTGGATCGAACCCGTGCCCTCGGGTATGAGAGGCAGGCCTTTTAACAACTAGTCATCCTTTGACTGACTGACTTTGCTTATGTACACTATATTTTTTGTTTGTATCTCTAAATATGTATATATAATGAAAATAATGACGTCATTTCAAGTTATATTATAATATGTACTTTAACTTATTACTTTATTTGGGAAAAAAGAGGGTTGATGTCAGGCAGGCGGATCGTAAAAACAATTAGCCAAAACTATTCACAACATGTAAGGCAGAACCTGGCTAAAGCTGGGAAATTACCAGGTCGAAAAGATAAGCAAAGACAGTCGCGGTATTTTAACTGTGATTTAGTAAATGTATGTGATTTTAAAAATTATTGTGTATTTTTTATTATTAAATATCCGGGATGCATTGAATCCCGTGAGCACATCACTAGTCCCCGGGGGATGCTGAATAGCCTCTATTGCTTTTCAATTTATTTGCCCCGCGCGTCCTTCTATCCGAGTGTTTTGATCACTCTGTTAGCTATTTTTAGTTATAAAACGATTTCTTTCAACCCTTTAACTTGTAACCATGTTTTAATTGATAAAATGAATGTATTCTCGCTTTGAATATATATTTTATTGTACTTTTTTATATAAAAACGTTAATATATCACCTCCAGTACGGATCTAGATCGAGCCAGCGGGCCGTGAACATTCAAGCCATTTTATAATTATAATTATTTCTTAAAAATCATTACAACAACACACAAACAATGGACGAGCTTTTGATTTCGAAAAATTTATGCGAAACTCGTCTTTATAGCTATCATTCTAATTAACAATTTCGTATGTATTACGACGCAATGGAACTATGTTGCAAACTGTACCTTTGTGTGATCTTAACTACGATTCTAAACCTTATTTCTTATAAAATAAAGTATAAAATAGCATGATCTATTTGTTAGCGGAAGTGAGACGGACTTCACGCTTTCTGCGTATAGACGTACGGATAGAAAAACAAGTAATTATTATATACGTACAGGATCGCTATACTTTCATTTGTGGATGTTTTTGATACTTATACGTATCAGGAAAGAAGTAACTTTACATACATTTGAAATATATATATCGGATTTATTACACATTCGTTGTTTTTAAAGAGAGAGATGCCAGCTGAGCTGACGTCACAAATGTCACTTCTTCTAGAACGTTCCATGATATTTTAAAATGAAACTTCAATTGTTCTAACTTTCCTTGTATTTCTCTAAGGTTCTTCATAATCACATACTTCAATGATACGCACTCACTGAACTCTGCCGTCGTGCGTCCAGACGTCATATTTATACCAAGATTCAAACATAGTTCTATTCTCCTTTTAAACAATCTTTGATTTCGTTTTACTTTTAACAATAATCATAAATACTAATGAGGTTTAATAATAATTGATGACGGCCTCAAATTATTTTCATGTCGCAAAACTGATAGCGCCGATATATACAAGAATTATATATTTAACTTAATTTATAACGGTTTTTAATGTAAAAATTATATTCGTTAAAATTTTTTCATTCATATATATATCAAAGATCGCTGCATATATCAGTAACGAAATATATACATATTACATATATAAGGAAATATTAACACATAATATATTGTGTCACATTACATCGATGTGACGGCAATTTGTATCGAGTGACTGAAATATTGGTGATGCACTTGTAGATAAAACGGGATTATTGGCTTTGGATAGCTTGGCTTGATAGCTTGGTTGATAAACAATTAATATATATATGAAAAATAATATTTATTAAAATACTGAAAATATTATATATCAAACCTAACATATATTATTTATGTGTTTTCCGTGACTTTGTTTTTTATTCACATATATAAATGTGAGTATTGAAAGAAAATATCGGAACATATAGTAGTATAGTGATTTGTAGGAATATATTTATAGACTTTAATAAATTTTTATAAATACATAAACATAATTTTCCACTTTTAATTTTTTATATATATACATATATTTTCATTAATCTTATAAGATATGCCTCAATTCTTTCTCGTTTTAACATCACCGATAGCTACGTAGCTTGACTTATTATTATATATATATAATAAAATAGCCAAAATATTTTTACCTTATTCTCTGCAATATATTCTATATATTAATATTCGTTATATGTATAATTGAATGATATTTATTATTGGGTATGATCTTAAGTGGACAAACCATAAACAAGCTTACAGGAATAAAACGTAATCCAATGTCGCACTTAAGTAATTTGGGGGAGTGTAAGTCAATTATTAGTGATCACACTCTAAGTGAGATGAGAGCTACTGTCGCCTACACAAGTGATTCACAATATATATAAAAATATTCAATAACTAATATATGAAATGAATTTAAAATATTTACTTTTAGAAGCAATAATTTTTCCTATAATTTTAATATAGTTTCAACAAGTTTCTATATACGACCCACAAGTTATATAGTGTATGTTTGTCTGGAAGAGGTTTCAATAAAACTATAAATTTACTTATATGTATATTATAATAATGATTACATATTAAACTTATAACCTACACCTAAGACTACATGATTGACCCAATGTTAGGATAGCAATATCATTCCATAGCTTGTGTGGTATCAGGAATCTTCTGGTTCATACGACAGGTGTTAGTTTCAGTAAGCGACGTCACTCGTAATATATATCTATACTACAATATTGACCCGGCGATGTTCGTTAAATATTCTATATGTTGTACATCATATTTGTACAAAAGGACATAAAGATATATACATATTTTATATAGTTATTTTTCACATTATAATGTGCTATCTAAGAATATAAAAATACGAGTAGATTACACGTTTTGTGCTCGTCTGTACATTACAATACCAGAAGCCCATAGGGACGAGGGATATTTTTTAAGGGTACCCTAATGCACTGTTTTGAATATGCCCTTTCTGTTACAAGGGACCAAAGAAACCTGAACACTGCTAACTGTCATTCTAGTTAATAACACCATAATTTGCTGACATTTAGACAAATAATGACAACTTTTAAATAAAATAGCAAATAATTCTTATAATTTACATATACATACAGCTTTGTTCCTCAGAAAAGTCTTTGTAATAGTTTAAGCACATATTAATACTCTCTTGATGCATGAATGAAAAAAGTCTTGTCATAAATATACCTTAAATTTAATTTAGTACGCATTTAAAATGTTGAAGTTCCTCTCCCTGCAACGATGGACCCGGCACCCGCACGGTGAATAAGTGCAATGATGAGAGGTTTCATCTTAATTTTATTGGATAACTATACAATTCTATTATATTATTTTAATGCTTTCTTCATGTATCGATGATGATATCAATTTGAATAACTAGGAGACGAAATGAAAACGACTATCTTAAAATACTAAATCGTTTAGCTCCCAAAAAAATATAGTTTTATGAAAACGTTGATATGAAAATTATTATTAATTTTATTATATCAATTATTTGATTTTCTCTTTATATGATTGAAGACTGAAAACAACATTGTTTTATTGAAAAATAATGAAATTTTAAGAATGATTATATATTCTTGATGTTTGAATACATTTTTTTTTGTTCACATATCATGTTGTGTTAATGAAAAACAATCTATTATTACAAAAGAGATTGTCTCATTCCCGTGGGACGCATCCCTTCAGATGCCCGACTCCGGCCATTCGTCGCCCTGTTATTGTTGTATTATTGTAATTGCTATTTAAAAATGACAAATTATTAAAAGTAAAGTGAATTTCGCTTCCAATATTTTCCATCTTGTCAAATAAAATGAATTAAGGAGTTAAATTCGCAAAAAATACAAAAAATATCAACCATGGCAATAGCGCAATAGTTTTTTGTTTATATTTCAAAACTATGAACGCCCTAGTTAGGTTTTGTGACAAAAAACTTCATGTTCACTTTTACCTTGTTATTTACATATTTGGTTTAACGCTATATAGCATACCTACTAGCTTTTCCTTGTGACTTCGTCTGCATTATTTTCAGACTAGATATGTATACCTGACCGGGCAAACTCTATTCCTCCTTAAAGACATTTTGCATTTAATAAACCTATTTTTTGTCTCATTTTTTCAGATGAGAAGTCCTAGATCCTATATCCTTTCCCTTGTTCTAAGCTATCTCTCCATCAATTTTCAACATAACCAGTAAATCCATTCTTGAGTTATAAATATTGTAACTACCACTTTCTTTTATATAAAGATCCATTAATACAAAAATAAAAGAACAGCAAAATGTATCTGTTACAGGGACCTATCTATAATGGTTTAAAGTTACAATATTTTCTATCTACACCGTCAACCCCTTTCTATATCAGTAGGGAGACTTAATCGAATCATCATAATACACACTCATTATTTTATTGAGCAGTCTAAATTTAATTCTGTTCAATCCTAATGCCATGTCCCATGAGCTGGGGCGTGTCGAGGACTATTTATGGTTGATCGGGGAATACAGAAAATTGTACAGTATGGTGTGATTTGAACAGCATTGAAATACATTGATTTCTATAATTAAAAATTGTTATGGACAAATATGGATTTTTTCTTAGTGTTATGTTTTAAAGACATATGATTTTACGAAAATAATAAGATAATTTGTATGAAAATTCGTTTATTATCAGAAAATTTGGATTATTTGATGTAGCTCTAATATTTTTCCATTATTTATTTTTGATTTATAAGTACTTAGTTTTATAATAAATAACTATTAAATTTACTACGTGGTATCGGTAATTACTTGAAATATATTTTGAAATGCAAAAGATAAAGCATAACAAAAGCATTCGTTTATATAAAAAATAGACCTTTTATTTAATTTAATGTGTTTTCGTTAGTACCAATATAAGTACAGTTTAGCGTAAAAACATCACAAAAATAATAGATATTTATTTTCTATATTACCTTAATCTCAAATGGTTCTAGATTTCAACTAACTAACTATCTAAAAATCCAACGTCCAATGCCTTTAACTCAAAGCATTATTTCTACCAGGTATTACGAAACCGGCAGTTTCAAGGCGGGTGTGATAGGTGGCTCAAAACCTAAGGTTGCCACTCCACCAGTAGTGGACGCGATTGCAGCTTACAAACGAGAGAACCCAACGATGTTCGCGTGGGAGATTAGAGACAGGCTGCTGAGTGAAGGGATCTGTAGTCAAGATAATGTACCAAGTGTGTCCAGTATTAATAGGTGAGTTTACTATATTATACTACAATTTACCTGGAATTAGTTTTAATATATATTCAATCATAATGATGTTTAAGACTTTCACGAATATTCGTCAAATAAAACTAATATTTTCGGTATACTACGCGTATTTTTTTAACTACATATTCCCGACCTTTCGTATGCCCGTGATCACGGTTGCTGAAAAGTAGCCGAAACTTTGAGAGCATGTAGTTTTGTGTGCGTAGTATATCCGCATAATATTAATTTCATTTAAAATTCGTTTTTCTTACATAAGATTATCAAAATCACATTTAATATTACTCTTGTATTACAAAAATTATTTTCGTAATTTCTGTCACAGATAATACAAGCCGGTGTTATCATAATCGAATATATCAAAAGCTATAGATAACTAAATTAATAAACGGTAGCGTAGATTAAAAAGATTAGCCGATATGTTATCTGGCGACACGTAATTAGACTAAGCTTTTTAAGGGTAACACTCAACATAAAGTGTCATTTATCATGGTTATATTAATAAATACTTTTCTTTTTTAACATATGCTAATATATTTTTTATCATTGATATATGAAAAAAAATATAAATTTTACTTTAATAGACATTAACTTTATTTTATGAGATCTAAGACTTTCGATAGTATTCATTTAAATGAAACTAATATTTTTCGGATTATACTACGCGTATTTTACAGACATTTACATCTCGTCTGTCCGTGATCATTGTTGCTGAAAAGTAACCGAAACATCGGTAGTATATAGTTTATACAATAATAAAATACTCGTAGTAAATCCGAAAAATATAAGTTTACATTATTTTATTTAGGTACATACAAGTTTTCTTTTAACCATAGATTCAAATCCCCAAACCACATATCCCATTTAAAATCAAGTCGTTCTTTATCAAGTACCTACGGTCATAATAAGTTTAAGCAGATGATAGTGTCTGTATATACAATTATTATAACCGGCTATAACTCTGAAACCCGGATATCCGGTGTACTGAGCACGTGTCCTCGTCCGGGTGAGCTCACCCTCCATCCGGCACGCAACCCCTTATGGAGCCAGGAGTATGAGATTTTGCAACAAAACAGATCTTTATACTCTTGGAATTCCCATATAGATATTTCCACTAAGCCTATTTTTTGAAATATTTTTATATTGATGAAAGAATTTCATATAAATGAGAATCCTTTTATATCTTTGCCACTTTTAGTTTTGAATTTTTTTTCTTATTTACGAATGATTTACAATCTATTATATATTTGATTTTACAAAATAACTTACTTTATACATATTTCATTATTATACATATTCACTTATGATAAGATACATCAAAAGTATAAAAAATATATATTATCATACAATATCCAAGAAAAATACGCTGTTTCCCTAACCATACGCGATCCCAACTCTTTTTCTTTATTTTTCAACAAAAATAAACTCTAATTCAACCCAAAAAGGTTCATCTTGCTGTGCAAAAGTTCGCAACTCTCACAGTAAGGGGCGAAATAGCTTAGTTTCTCGGCAAAAACATTTGAAGATCTCATTCCTACTCTCAAAAGCCACGCCCATAACAGTATCCTTAAACACCAAGCGTGCAGGAGCTAACAATAGTAATATGTTAACGAAAATAACATAAAAAAACAAGATTCTTCTATTATATACTTTTATATTAGAAAAGAATGTTTTGGGGGAAAATTTAGAGACATTATACATAGAAAAAATAGGAAAAAAATCGTCTAATTAATGAAATAATTCTATGTGAAAAAACTATACGTAATTTATGATTATTAGTATTAATTAATATATTTATCTGATATCAAAACAATACGAGTGCAGTTAATCTAACATTAGCACAACATTTTTCAATTTAAGATTATATCGGTAAGCCGGAGTCAATTTTAAAGTAATTCCCCGATTCCCTGTCAAGGGTGATCCGCACGCGACCAGCACGCGGCCCTAATGTACCATGGACGACCTTCCTGTGGTCTCATGATGTATAAATACGAAACTATTTCCAACTGGATCTGGGGTAAATCGACCTACCCTCGAATTTACTGACGTCCGCTAAGAATGAACCGAAACTGTCAACGTTTTTGATGATTTATTCGTGTTGTATAGATATATTTGTAGTATTTTTTCTATATTTTTGTTAAGATTTTGCACTTAGTGGTCTAAAATTAAATTGCTTTTGATACTAATATTCTTATTTCTTACAAACTAAAGACGTTTCTTAAGTACATATATAAGACCCACTAAGCTAGTCTACCATATCAAAGTAAAGGAGATTTTTTTAATTGCCTCATCTCCACGATAATCATGTTGGATCAACATTAATAATAATGTCCATAAAACATTTCCATACCATAATAATATTACAGTAAAAAAGCTGAGTCGCGAAAAACTAAGACATTTTTAAACGAGGGCGGCCCGATGGTAATTGGAGCTATAATTCTGGCAGCCCCACTCTGACATTTGGTTTTTGCCGCGCAAAATGAATAATTTGTCAGATAGGATTTCGGTTGTTTATAGCGTCGAGTGTTGACGGGGCTTTTTTTATCACGGTTAATTGTCAGTACTTATGTAAGTTCAATGAAGTGAATTATACAAATAATATATTGCTTTTTGTATCGTTGGAATGGCGATTAAAAATTAATTCATACAAGTTTTTTTGCTTTGGTTCTTGGCTTGGATCGGTTCATATTTTAAAAAATTATAGCTAACATATGAGAATTGGTAAAATTATGGCGACCAATTTGGTATATCAACCGTAAAAAATTACATATAATAAACATTAAAAAAACTCTGATACATATAATACGATGATGATACTTTACAATAATTATTTCCCGTTACTTTCTATAATATAAGTGCTGTATAATAACGTCATAAATCAAAAAATATCCGCAATATAATGCATAATTCGCAAAAGGAAAATATTAAAATGTCTGGGTAGCATGAGCACGGGCAACCCTTCCGTCCGGAAACCGATGTAGTTCACTATTCGCAAAAGTTTTTACAATAGAAAATATTCCATTGTATATTTTATATGATAGAAATGCGCATAATGCAACTTATCTTTCCTCTGTATAAAAACCCAACATAATGCTTTTTTTGTTACGATCGTGGCAACGTTCCATGTTTCCTGTAAGATATATTAAATTATTACACATACGTTATAAAGAAATACAAATTATTATTACTATTAAATAATATCAAAGTATAAAAAATATATTCTCAATTCTAAAAAGAAGTATATGTTATATTATAAGTATGGATTGAGATATTAATATTATAAAAAAATCCCATTTCATCAAAACACAATCCCCATAAATCAGCATACTCGTCAGAAGCTATTACACTATTACGAGATGCGACCCTAATTCCAATTTGACCTTTTTGATAAGTTTGCAAAACAATTTTTGCATATGTCAACCCGCGAGATACTGGCAATAATTCACTCCGGCGACTATCCATCATGGTGGGAAATGAACTGTCAACTGTACGACGGCGACAAAATGGCCGCGAAATGAAATAATGACGCCGCCATGCTGATATTAAAAATATATTTTATAACTAATAAACATTATGTCACGACTTCAAAACATTTTGTTTAGAGATATCAGAATTACAACATATATTTTATATATGTATATATGAAAGTACAGTTTGTCTATTATATTGAATCAGTTATGTAGAACTAAGTCTAATAGTTGAATAATTCATCTGATATTGCAACGTCGTTAGAACACTTCAAGATTCTTTAATATTTTGAAACTAATATTATCATGTATCTTACTTAATGAAATAATTACGCCTAATTTTTGCTTTTCATTTTGAATTTATTGCTTGTCACCAGTCTTTTAAACTAATGATTTGTAATACCAAGATAAATATTCTCAAACTACACGCAATTTCTTCTAAGACATGATCTCTTTTGATTTTATTTTACTGATAAATAAGTTTAAAGTAAATTTAGTAACAGTAGGAAAAGAGTAACGGAATAAAATAGAGTTAAGGAGATAAAGTAACAGGAGGTACATACTAAGTTCTGGTTGGCAACACTACGCAAAACGTTAGAACGTGATATTCAGATAAAGAGAAAATGTGTAATAAAGTGGCGTATTAGATACAGTATGAGATTTCTAACCATTAAAATTATATGATAAAAAATCTAAGCTAAAAAAAGCTGTTGTAATTACTTAGATTATTATCGGATGAGCGTAATTGAGACAACGGGTCTTTAAGGATGTGAGCAACTCGACATACCAGCATTCAGCAAGAATTTCTTTACATCAAGGAACATATATTGACTTATAGCTTACTTCCTGAATAATAATCAAGTCGTAAATATAATAGCTATATAACTCATGGGGCCATAAATGTAAAAAAATACTCAAGCTAAGCATTACCGCATACCGCAGCGAATCGCCAGCGCCACCAAATTGCGTATTGATGTCGCCACGTGCCCGACGCTGCGGTAATGGAACTTTCTTGTCATTGTAATTATTATTATTTGATTGAACCCATAATGGACCAATAAATATGCAAGTTTTTTTGGTGATGCTGACAAGTTTTTTGGATAGGGTACGTGAAATTGCTAGCGCAAAATCCTGATGAGTTAGACGAAAAATAAATGATAAAAATGTAATCATTATAGAAATAAAAGAAAAATTTACGTAAATTCTGTTGTAGGATCGTTCGTAACAAGGCAGCAGAGAAAGCAAAACACGCTCACAATCAACAGCAGCAACAACAACAACAGGAGCAGGAGATCAGCTCAGCACAGGGCAGCGTAGTATCAGTAAGTTACAGCATAAAATTTAAATCATATTGTCTCTTTTACTTATCAGAATCCAATTCTATATAGGGAAGACCAAAAACTGGCGAATTAGATAAAAAAATAAGTAATTTTGGCACGCTTATTTAATTTAAACTGCATTAAGTATAAATTCTACATACAAATAACATTTACTTGTAATAATAATATGTCAAATATATTTGTATTTTAATTCAAAAAAATTGCTAATATGTCAATAAATTACGATTAAATAGGTGATAACGCATTCTGGTAATGCACCAACAACTGCGGTGTTATCTCCTACCACGGAGCATGTGAACAACACGGGCAGTTACAGCATCAATGGGATATTAGGTATAGAGCAGGTGGACGCCTTACATAATGGAAACACCCTCAAGAGGAAACGCCATGAGGACCAAGGTAGGTTCACTTGTATATACTTGTACATGGATACGTACCAAATATATGAAATGTATTAAATAGTCATGATTAGGAACAAAAAAGACTGATAAATTTTGCTATGAAAAATTTCTTTTTACTTTTATTCTTCTTCCTGGCAATTTCCCAGCTTTAGCCAGGGTCTGCCTAATTTCATTATACTCTTATCATTATGTTCTAATAAGATTCTACTAAGATCTTGATGTAAACAGACTTTTAATTCCTTGTCATTAATACATTGAAGATTCATCAACCAGAAATGCCCTCAAATACAGTTAATACAATCAAACTATATATCATATAAAAGTATAGTAAAAAACGACAAAAATATATAAAAAGCTTGCAAAAAAATATGATATATTTAAAAAGAGACAGTAGTTCAATTTAAACAATCCCATCGACCCCCGGACGCGTTCACCAGAACGTGCAAGATTTAGTGCGCTATTACGCCCGCGTAAAATGTTACCCATATTATATTATCTTATAACTCCAATTACATTTTTCTATTTACTATATGAAATTTCATTCCTTAGATCTTTTCCGTATATATTTTCATCTAATTTTTAGTTTTAGATAGAGATATGATTTTATTTTTAATGAATTTCATCCGCAGATGAAAACAGAGACTTCAACAGTCACTCCGAAGACGATGTTAAGAGACAAAGGAGTCATTACAACGGTGACCAAATATATTCAAACGTAAGTATTCATCTAGCAAAAATTACGATATACCTCATAATAAAATTTCGAATATCTTACAATGTATTGCTATTCATAAAAATATATTATTACTAAGACATAGATGTATAATTTGAATTAAAACTAACAGTCTTCATACAGGAAATAGTTATAAATAAACCTTTTATTATCTCTCTTATTATAAGATTAGTTCGTAAATAAGTTTCTGAGTAATGGCAATTAGAGACATACAGGCAGGATAAATGATGTATGTAATATGTATGTATGTTTTTTTTCTACCTGGCAATTTTCCCAGATTTAGCCAGGGCCTGTCTTACATGTTGTGAATAGTTTTGGCTAATTGTTTTTATGCCTGACATCAACCCTCTTTGGGAATGCATTAATCAGTGATGATAAATACTCTTAAAAGTACATATGATTTGGAAAAATCACATTGGTACTTGCCGGGATCGAACCCGCGCCCTCATGCGTGAGAGGCGGGTCTTTTGACCACTAAGCTACCACTGACTGTATGTATGTATGATAATATCTTTTCATCAGCTCTGGTCATCCAAATGGAGTCTGAAGGATGAGTACAAGTTGTTGTCTGAGCTGGGAGGCTCCGCTGGCTACTACGGGGAACTGTTCGACGCACAGTATGATCACACACACCACTACACCACGCATTCTGGTGAGTTTAATATATATGTACTTTATATCCGGACTGATGATGGATTTGAATATGTCATATCAATTTAAGGTGATTTCTTAGTATCATATAGGTGGATTTTTTATTCTATTTCATTCAATATAGCGAAATTTGTGTTCTACGAAGGCATTATTTGAATGTATTTCTTGCTTTCTGCTTTTAATTCAGGTTTAAATATCTACAATATTTTTTGTTAACACTTGTAGAGTAAAAACGCCGATGAGCTTTGTAAAGAAAATATGGTTTGACAAAAAAATTTACCTATTTCAAGTTAATTATTATATAGCATCATCGATCTTTATGTATATATTTGGATAAAAACAATCCCATTGTTTGTTTGTTCCACAAAACACGGAAATATAAAACAATGACCTCCAAACAAGCACAGGAAAATGTCCAGACACTGTTATCTGTCACCATATTCGGGGCGTGAAGTGATACCACGATTTTATGGATAATTAGTTTTTGTAATACTTCTGTTTTATTCCATTTTCTTATTAAAATCTATTATTATAAAAGATTATGTCTTAGCGAGTCCTCTCTGAACATAATTCACTCTTCATTTAAATACTCATATGTGTATTATTCTTTTTCGAAATGTATATATCTTCTTCGTAATATTGGTTTAGTACTGCAGTTATATGTCCAAAATTATTTCAAACCTAACAAAATTCAATTCAAAATTCAAAAAAAATGTCAAGCAGAACATTGAGGATCCCTAAAGTATTTAAGTCTGCAATATTTTAGCTCCAATACAAGCAGGTTTATATAGCTCACACAAACTTATCTCAAAGACAGATAGATATAATTTCAATGGTCCCAGCCTCCGGAAACAGTGACAATGATGACCGCATCCCGTAACACGACCCTGTAACTTACACTCGTCTAGCTTTGTTTGTGTCGGCTCAACTAGAAGCCTCCTATGTCTGTCAAAGGATCTTTGTCACTATATACAGTGAGAAATTAGATTGAATTACGAAATATGGTGAAATATATAACAAAAACAAAACGTTTTTTGTTGAGTATTAATAGTTTTTACTTTAAAGTATTAGAGTGATCAGAAGTTGAATTCTTTAGGGTTTATTAAATTTTAAATAATCTAAGATACCTATAATATTTCATGATACGTATATTTTTATTCAAAGCTTATTTATTCTCAGAATCTAGGTATAAGCGTTTACTATAGTTAATTTAAGATAATGATAGTGTTGTCCAAAAAAAATTATCTATATACAACCATTGAAAGAATAGCCCTTATGCAAATCAATAAGAGGAATTTTAAATAAAACAACTTGTCGACTATTATATATTATGTAATTTGTCGAACACAAAGCCCCTGTTCCCATGGCAACGCTAACCGCATCTCATCTTGTGGTTTTCATTCACAGCCGTATCATAATATCTTGTTCTATGACATGGGAATTAGTTCCGATATCAATATTAACATGTTGATCATTCTATCACTATGAAGACATTATCTTGTAGAAGATTAGCCAATAATAATTAATCTAGCAAAATGTGTAGTTACTATTGGAAGGACGATAAATCTTTTATGTCCAAAAATATTCCTATATACAATATATACGGGCAGTGAACTGATATCCTCTCTATACAAATTAGTCGTTAATGAGCGGCTATCAAAGTGGACGTTGATTTAGTAACCTTTTTCACATTTGCAACTAACTTCAAGCGTAATTTCATTCATTCCATACATTTTATTTAATATAAGCTTCTAATTCATTAATAAACAATATATTGAAATAACAAATCTTTTAACACGACTATATATTAACCAAATATTAGGATTTTGAAATACAACATCAATCTTATATTTTAATCATCATAAAAACAATCAAAAGGACTACTATCCGAAAAGAATACTGACAATGGTAACATCAAAATTATTATATCCTTCTGCCAAAATAATCCCAATACAGAGCAATTTAGCCAGAACATTTCATGATCTTCCACCTCATCTGACCCTCAGCAGTTCCCGCGAGTGATTCAGGCTCGACTGCTGCAGCAGAACCTCCATCAGGTGCTGGCAGCCCGGACGCCGCGGCGCTGGTAGTACTACAACCACCAGCTGCCTACCCACCATACGCGCACTATGATGGTAAGTTGATAGTCAATAGTATTAATATGTACATGAATATCTGTCAGATATTTACATATTCTTTCACAAGTCTCTCTGGAAGTAGTTTCAAACTGAAAATCTCCTAATCTCCGCTACCAAAACTCGTATAAGTAACTTTGAAAGCCTTTCAGTGATCAACCAAACCAAATACTTGCTCACTAAAAACTGTAAATATCAATTTTAAGTGAACACCTTTGAATGCCTTATGATACAATGATACTAATTATTGATTTCATTGCAATTTTAACAATGAAAACTTAATGATGCCAACATCCAATAAATAGTTTCATTGGTTTCATACTTTGCGACTTCATTATTCTTGGATAAAAAATATTAATAATAATAGTCTTGTTTGATCCGTCACTTTATATTAAATATACTGAATCATCCACGAAATATATTTAAATACACCATCGAAACTTCTAGTCATTTCGACAAAATGTTGTTCGTTACAAAACAGTTATTTTATATCAATACCTACAAAGGTACAAAGCAAGCCACCCAACTTAGAATGTGACGTGAGTGAGTTTCACTCCTACAATCCCACATTTCATCTGACGTGTATGATCGTTAAGTCATAATGATAACTCAATGCCACGCCCAGCACCGTATAATATTTACTTACAGGCGAGCCATTTGAAGAAGAGCCCTGCACTCGCTCCGGTTCGTTACTTGCACAGACAAAGCCCGTATGATCACCTCCCCCCTCCCTCCCTCCCCTTCCTCTCTCCGTGCTCTAAAGTATTTGCATAGCCCCGAACGAGCTATTAAATACCATCCCCCCAACTCGGGATAAGCAGATTGCGGTAGATTAAAGACCAAAAGCATAAAGAGAATGCGTCCCAAAATCCCCGCGCCACAATTTTGGCACTTGAAATTATTAGCTCAAGTGCGAAATTTGTGTGACGCGATATTTTATGGTTCCATTGAGGAGGGGGAATGGGAAAATTAGATTTACGTTGGAGCGTTGAGTACTCCAGTTTGAGAGCCTCCCGATTTCTTTTGATTCTACTTTTGTGGATCAAATTCATTTACTTTTTAAATACCGTCCGCTGTTATTTTTTTGTTGATGATTACTTGGTAATGTTCTATTTTCCTTACAAAAATAAATTGTTTTATAAAATATATTTTATATACGCGATTGTATATTTACTTTGAGTAAATAGGAAAGGTAACTGAAATAGTGGTCTTAATTCTGCATAATATCCTGAAAAGTTTCTAATAAATTAAACAATACAGTTACTACTATATATATAGTTTTTTTCATATAAAATAATAATTTTTCATTCCCAACAGGTACAACTACCCTCGCCAGCGAGTACGCATACGCGGCTCCCTACTCACAATACTCCTACGGACCTTATGGTCACTCAGCCACAGGACTTCTATCCAAGTGGTAAGTTAAAACAACTTGTTATAACAAATAGCTATTAAAAGTACGTAACTTTATTAGAATATAAGTCAATACAAATCTGGTCGGAATAGATTTTGATATATAAAGTCTATATATAGTCTTTATAAATATTTTTCATTCGAAAAATATTCAGCCTTACATCACTACGTTCTATTCACCCTTTATTTATAATGCATCTATTTTACGAGGAGAAACTTATAAAGGCAATAATAATATTCGATTTTCACAATAATACTACATAAAAAAAATTGGTGTTATTAAAATGAGAAATTAATAATTCAAATTATACTTACTTTGTTTGTAGACGTTAAAATAATTTCATTATCCCAGTTTCGGTTCTATTTATATTTTATTATAAAAAGAGAAAACTACATATTTTGACATTTTCAAATTATTATAAGAACATTTTTTCTCAACAACTCTATTCGCTTCAAGTACACCAACCACTACTTAAGCTGTTTAAGCCACAATTATTATCTTACTAGTTTTTGCAGGCGACTTCGTCCGCGTTAGTTTGGTCAAGAGTAATATATGTAGGTGTAGCTGACCTGGCGAACTCTATTCCGTCTTAGAGGCCATAAATAATCAGGTTTTTCCTGTTTCAATCAAACAAAATGATTGACATATTAGTTAGTTGTCAAATCTAATGTCAAAAAAACGTTTGTATGGGAAATAGAAAAGGGCTGTTTTTAGGGTTTGCCCGGCAATTATTCCAATTTTTCTCACCTTTTATACCTTCCCTGAACCTCCACGAACATTGCAAGACTAAGATAAGATAAATCCGTTCAGCTGTTCTCGAGTTTTAGCGAGACTAAGGAACAGCAATCCATTTTTATATATATAGAAGATAGAAGATGACAATAAAATTGTTTACTAAGTTTTGCAGTAACTATTGCATTTCTCAAAGCAAAACAACGATTGCCATCTGATATAAAAAATACAATATCTAATTTTGATAGTTTAATTTAAATTCTAAGACATCTTTGACATATATACGTAATATATCTTTATTATATACTTCTCGTATGTATCATTACGACTAATGAATCCCGTCCTTCAAGCCCACAACTCATTACCTTTTCTATATTTTACTGGCTTTAAATCGTTTCCACGTTTAACAGCCTCGATACAAATGACCTTGTGGGAGATATAAATCTGTGCGTTTTATCACTGGCTACCGGTGTACAGACGCCGGCTTCACGAAACACTCGCATTCAAATATAGCCCTTATGATCATAGTGGTAGATACTAAATAAGCGTCAAGACATTTCGTTGTTTATAACCATGTGGCGTACCTCAGGGAGATATGTTAGCACCTGCGGTTTTCCTATGCCATGGTATTCCAAATTTACCTGCTAATTGGTATTTTTTACCTGAATACAATGTAATCCGTCTTGTTAATGTGTTTTGGTAAACACGATGTTAGAATTTATTTTCACTAGAACCGAAGCTCGGATATTGCAACAGTAATAAACAAGGCTATGTACAGTTTTTACAACATTTTTTCATGTCGTTGATTTTGCTATTAAAATAAATAAAATCTCGATTACATTTGAAGTCATTAATTTGCACAAAAAAGTCGACAAATAAACAATAAAAGGGCAGCCGTAAGTTGAAGGCAAAAGACAATTCTTTAGCACATTTGTCGATTTGTCCTCCCTCCCACGGGAGACAAAGGGCTATAACCCTGGGGAGTTGAAGTAACTTATAGGGCATTAAATTTAAGTGATTCTCTGCTTTTAAAGTTTTCCAAAGTTAGGGGATTGGAGCGGATTCGCGAGTAGATGTAATCGATGCTCGGATCATACGTGCATTTATACGTACGGCTGAAGATTTTTCGAATTTAAAATACACTTACATTTTATTTAAACAACTATTTTACTACCAGTGTATTGTATTATCTACTTGTAGTAGAATTTTTAATATAATCACATCATTTTTGGTTATTATTATATAAATTAATATAAATAATGATTGTTTCATAAAGATATCACCGGGCGCCGTGCGAGCAATAACTGCCGGTGAGCCACAACGAAAACAAGTGATAAAAGTGACATTAAAATGTGAGAATTTTAGTTATCCTTAATATTTAGTTAATATCCATTATAATTAGATAAATATGTGTACAATGTTATAAACTCCAATAATATTTTCGTGGTCAGTATCGCTTCTGTTTTCCTGTGTACAACATTTTTTTTATACTCATTGTAATTTCATTTAAATTATGAGCCAAAGTATTGATAATTCTTTATTATAATGTAAGAATGTAAATATTGTAATTTCATTTACTGTCAGAATTAGATTTAAGTATTTCCCATACCTCAAGTAACAAATAGTGAATGTTTTGTGTAATTATTATAATATTCATTTGATCTGTCAAAGCACAACGGCGCGTGCCACATTGTTACTGTTTTTTTTTATTACTATCTAAGTTATTTATTATTTTATATCGTTATTATGTTATACGATGCTTGAAATTATGAAATTAATATATGCTTACATAATATATGTAGATTTTGAAATTACTATGAGATTATAAATGTTTTCATTTTTTACTTTTTATAATAATTTAGCTTCTAGTTTCATTTAGCGTTACGTATTATATGTTCAAATGTAGAAATTTTGTTTTTTATTTATATATAATTCGATCTTATCATTTCCGTCCATTCGTTTATTTTATTTGTATATATAATGATACAGTTTCAGTTGTGTTAATATATTTTTTCAACATACAGTTTAGTGGTATGCCAAAGATATAGGCGTCTTTACATTCATTTTCTTATAGAATCTTTTAATGAAGTTATAATTTTATCGCCAAATAAATGGTGGACTTGTCTCGGTATTATTTAATACATTAACATAGTTGTAACAAATATTATATAATTTAATGTCTTGTATGTCCTTAATTTAGCATTTGCATGTTAATATGTATAAATATATAAGAATGGAAATGTAAAATCAAATGTTAATATTCTATACCGTGATCTGTACAGTTAATTCATATTAATAATTCATATAAATGTATAATTAACTATTGCGATTATGTTTTGACGTAATTATGACCTTGAAAGTCCACTGTAAAATCCTGATTCTTACAATAACCGTATAATTTTCTATTTATGAATGATCTATACTTTGCTTTGACCCGAGAGCATATCGATGTAAGTGATACACGTCATAATAATAAGTTATAAATGTAATAGTTTCATTTTATTTTTATTAAGTATATTTGTAAGACAAACGCACCAGTACGAAATAAAGGCATATGAGTTTTTAAATGATTTTTTTCTTAACTTCCTAACAACTGATATTTATAATTAAAAATAAATAAGAATGCATTAAAACCTTTTTGCTTGTTTCGAAAACGCCAAGATTAATAAAAATGTAAAAATAGTGTCTGTTTGAAGTTTAGACTGAAAAAATTTTCAGTGTTAATAAAATTTTACAATATGGTTGGAATAAAATGAATAACAAAATTAAAATGTCTACCGTGACGACCTGATCACCTCTCCCCACTCTCCGTACTATGAGTTCAAAAGATTCGGCTTCTCATGATACCTCCTCAACTACAACACTAAAAGACAGTGAAACACAAACTAGTAAGGTTTACGATTTCAGCAATACTTCCGTCAATAGACCTGGGAGACCACTGCCACAAAATATTGAAAACACGGCGCCGCCTAAGAACGACAAAGAAAAGGTCTTCGAATTTTGCGAAGTAATTCAAGACCCCAATGATCCGGATTCCGTGAGTATAGTAACGGAAAAATTCTCAGAAGAAGTTATAACTACGAAAGAGAAAGGTTCATTGTTTGAAAAGCCCACAGCAAACAAATATAAATACTACAGAGAGGTAATACAACCGTATTCTAAGAAGTTTTGTACAGAGTGTCCTTCTTATGTGCCTCCCCGTAAGAAGGATAGCCCAGCCTGTCCGCCAAGTCCGCCTTGTAAACCTAGCTGCCCCATTATACCCACACACTCCTGCGAGTCCCCACAACCTATCCAGACCTGTGAACCACCAAAGCCAAGTGGTCCCGACACCGATTGGTGTAATAATAAACCTCAAAAAGATACAGTAGATAACTGTGACACCAATATGGATTGCAACGAAAAATGTAAGATGCATTGCAAGACAACATTTATAAATCCCTTAGATGAAGCAGCCAAAAATCCATGTAAATCCCCCTGTAAAGTCCCAAGCAAAGAAAAATGTTCTCGAACAAAATTAGACTGTGATAAACCAAAAACACCGCCATGCGAAAAGTGCGAGAAAGTAGACGAAGCACAACTCAAATGCTGTATCGCAGCGTGCATTAAAGATAGCGTAAAGGCAGTTAAAAAAGGTAGTTCAATGTGTGTTAATGAAATTGAAAAAGCTATTGGTGTTAAACACGCTGACAATTGCGACGACAAACCAACTTATTATGTCCTGGAAAAACCAAGATGTCCGGATTACACGGGGAGTCGTGGATCATCATCAACAAGTCTACCAAAAAAGAGCAGTGTTCAAGAATTTTTTGATACTCAAACTCAAACAGTCGCGACAATACAATGTGCACTCAAAGACTTCATGGGTACAGTCTGCAATAAAACGAGAGACGTTATTGAAGTTCTACGAACAGAAAGTTGTAACAAAATGAGGTCCGAAGAAGAAGAAAAAAATAAAAATACGAAAGACTGTTCGTACGTAAAATCTTTAACACTGATAACTGAGAAAATTAAAAACGAAATTGACAAAATAGATATGAGCACTGGAAGTGAAAGCTTAGAGAGAATATTAGAACCGGCTAAGCAAATTCTAGATAAGGTCGCCTCGGTTGTATCGTCCACTGTATCTTTAATACAGGAAGCTAATTTTGAAAAGATGGTAGACGATGCCCTCGAAGCGAAATTCAACAAAAGCTCACCCTATGACAGACCCGGAGCATACAAGCCACCAGAACAAGTCGCTCAGGAACATGAACCCAGTAGGAATGCTAACATGTTCACGACCATAAAAACAAAACTGTTTTCTATATTCGGACAAAGGGACAGCAGTCACGAAATAGAAGACGATGAAGATGATGAAGACGAAGATCTTACAGCTGAAAAATACTTCGACAAATATTGCGACCAGTAAGAAATCTCACAACATGAAAAACAATACCATCTTCCAATAAAGTTTTTACAACGAATCACAGCTTATTTTTTGTAATTTAATTTACACTCAAACCGAAGGCAGTTCTTTCATTATAAATCATAGTTTTATTTGTAATGATTTTATAGTTATGTAAAATTATTCCCTTAATTACTTTTAAAGGAATCTCATTGAAGATATATTAAATTTACCTTTTATTTTCATCTGAGAGTCATATTTTTATCGTGTGATTCTTTTTCAAATAATATTTATTTGGTTTTTATTCTGTCATATAAAATTATAACAGTGGAACGAACTACTGAGCTAAAAACCGTAACTGAAAATTAACAATCAAGATATTTGGAAATATAATTTTAATTAGGACTAACTGATTTGAAGCCGAAACTGTACAAATAAATATATTATATTCATATAGGAATACTTGAGCAAGCGTGGTGATTAATGCTCACATTTACTCTGATAGGCTGATGATTATATATACTTGAGACGTGGCTATTGTTGTCACCTCTGGGAAAATAGCTATTTCTTTAATTTACTTTATATGGGATAAGGAAGGCCCCATTATCGATATCTATACCACAAACAACTTATATATTTAGAACATTTAACTAGACTCCTTCAGTGTAGTCAGACACTCACAGGTACTCACTCATAAATATTCTAATAATTGGTTTGATGTTGTAGTGCATTCCTAATTCTTTTTCAATTTCACTCTTCACTGAAGAGATATGTAATCTTCATGAATGATATTTTAATTCTGAGTATTTTTGACAAAGATATACAATATAAATATAATGTATATATTCATATGCGGGAAACCGTACGAGGTTTGTCTTTAGAGCTAGAATATGCGATGGTTTTAAAACCTACGGACATAACTGAATATCATATCATTAATTACTCTAAAAAGGTTAAATTTTTGTCTTCAACTGAAATCGAAATAATTAAAAACAAATACCCAAACCTGACAGCTAAAGAATATTACAAAGCGGCCATTTTTGTTAAATATAAAATATCAAAATGATCCACAAAATTAAATAATATGCAGACAAAAAAATGCACCGTCGAACCCAAACCTGAACCTCCACCGCCCGACCTTTGTAAGTTACAACGAATCCAGCAGAAAATAAAAGCTGGCATAAAAATATGTCCGTCACCACCCATCGAGCCGCCAGAGGAACCGGCAGAATGTTTTGCTCTATGCAGGGAGAAAATTAAAAATCCCGAAGTAACCGTGTCCGAAGAAGCAGTTATTTGTCGCGTTGAAAGAGAAAAAACTGGAACTTCTAGATGCGATAAAGTTGAAGACTTGACAGCCGCTCATCCTGACTCGCCTTGGCCTGGATGTGAAACCCCCCCACCACTCCCTCCGCCGCCTGAGCCAGATCTTTGTGAGGAATTAGAAAAGAAAGCAAAAAGAGAACTGTGCAAAGAGAGAATGAAACGTTATTTACTATAAACATGGACAAGTACAACAAACTGAATTCAGCGAGGAGCTCGTTCACCAACTTCATAAACGATAAATATAAAAAGGCAGTTGAAGCTTTTCAATCTTTCAAACATTCAGACGAAGACTTGGTCCAAACTAGGAAACTTACAATCGAATCTACTAAAGCGGACATCGCTGGAGCCCCCTCACAAGATATAGACAAACAGATTGATGAACTTGAAGAATTAATACATCGTTTACAGAATGAAATTGTAGAAATGTCGGATAATGCTGACAGGGATGCGGATAAAAAGTATTTTTTAGAACCTATCGCTAATACTTCCAACCGTGGAAAGAGCGAGGATGGTTCCTCAGGCAACTCCTCGCCAGTCAATTACAACACCAAGAAACCTGGTAAGTCGAATAGCAAAAATTACTTCTTCCCCGTCTTCATTAACGATGCTGGCGTCGCAAGTGAATCAAAACCGCTCCCACTTTCTAGTACAGAGGCTCTTAATGAAACTTTTTTCCCACAAACTCCTAGCACAGAGGCTCTGCAAGATACATTTTTTAATATAAGAAAGAGATTCTCTTTACTTTGGAATGAAAGCGAAGACGTCCTTCAGGATAAAGAATTAAAATTGTCTGAAGGACACAAAGAAGTAACGTTCTCTGAGTTAAGAGCTGTGATCTCTGATCAGATAAACCGAATAGATAACGATCCTCTCAAGAATATGGAAGAAAAATATAAATAATTACAACAATTATTGAAAACTCTCCATAAATGTATTTGGTATAAAAGAAAATGAGACTAAATAAATAAAAGACTGAACGTTTTCCCTAAAATATTTATTTGCAATAACAATTAAAATATACTCCATACAAAATACAACATTCAAATATATTTAAGTATATTAGTAATAAATAATAGAAGCGATTTTGTTTGACTAGAGTGCACCCAGATACATTCTTCATATACTTTTTATATAATACATATGTATACAATTCCGTAACAAACTAATAACAGTATTATTTTTTCATATATAATAGAAATATAGAAAATACTATATTTTTTATGTATAAGCAACAGTACATCATCAAAAATCTATAAGCCAGCAAAATTATATTCCGCCATACATATGAAATAGAATTTAAAACAATAAAATTACCCAAACTTACACAATAAACTGTAAATAGATTAAATTACATACTCTAATGTTAAAACATTTCTGAAGTTCCATACATTCTTTTAAAAAACCAACACATTCATAAAATACAAACTGGATGAACATGTGTATATATAACAATATATAAAAGAAGCCATTACATTAAAAGATTACAAAATATTAAATTTTGGCACAATACAAAAGTTATAATATTTTTTAATATAAGGCACCAACCACGTCCTCGTGTAGTCATGCAAGTCTCTGCTAAAATACCTAATATATTTTATAAACGCGATACCTTTTAAAAGCGAAGCTAGGTTAAATAATTTCAATAAATAAAATGCATATTAATATAAGTTATATACGAAAAAATGCATATATTAAAAAATACATTTTTATATTTAAATACTCGAAGAGAATTACACGTAAGTCTATGTCTTTCATAGAATATATAAACACAACACTTAAAGAATATAACGAGTTAGCACACGGAGACGTTAAGAAGAATGGAAATATCAGGGATAAGGACTATCATCATTAAACTACACAAAAAAAAATCAAAACCACATCAAACCTATAGGTTTACCCAAATGACCTATAGATTTCCCCCAAAACCCACTAAAACTTGGGCCTTGGGGGACAAAAAGCGAGAATTAAAAGTATTCCACAAAAACTGCCGGCCCTGCCTCAAGGCGGGACCAAAAAACACCTGGACGGAGCCAACCATCCAGGGACAACTAAACCAAACTTGGAGGCTCTTCATCTATTTCTGCTTCGCTGATGGATGAATGGCTGGCTGATGGAACGGGTGGTACTGACGGGACAGTATGCTCTCCTGAAATATACCATACCATACTAAAAATCGTACAATTCAAAGAACATCAAAGTGAAAATCATGAAACGTACCACATCATCAGGCCTTTGGGACCGGTTCATGTTTCTTTCTTGCAAAATAATTTGATTAGCAGCGCTGAAACAAAGACGGTATTGAATAAAATGATCTTTACGTTATGCCGTTGCCAAATCCAATCAGGTGCTTCACAGACAGTCATAAAAACTCGACTATTCGGTTATATATTTAAATCTTCCCTAATTAAGCTTAATAATTTTGTTAGCACAGAGTGTACAACCAGAAAAAACCACATATCAAATGGCTTTAAGCTTAGATTCGGCTCAATTGGACATACCAAAAAAAGTAACTTCTAAACGATATGAATTCTGAAGTTTAATTGCTGATTTTTGTGTATTTATAAGAAGCAATAATACACCCAAGTCTAGTCTTAAAGTATTAATGATAGCATAATGTCTCACGCATCCATTTCCTCCTGCGTGAGGTCGAGGGCGTCCTGCATCTCCCGGGCGGTGCTGGAGACGAACTCGCGGTCACAGTACTTGCCCAGACCCTGCTCCGTTAGAACCTTCACGAAAAACACAACGAAAAAGAAAATTTAACAGCAATAAAGCAATTAGGATCTCAACACTTTTCCAGCATCACTGGATATACGACGCATTTCCCGTTTCTCATTCCATAGTATATGTTAATGCTTGAATGTGTGAAGGTTTATGAATGGAAAACTTTAACGCTTCATATGTATGACGATATGAATATAGACTAAGCGCACTGATCGGCACAAGGTACGGTAACTCCTTTAATGGAAATACATCGTCATAGCGTTATAATGTTCTTTATTAATTATTACAAATAATTGATAATTTATTACAATTACATACTTATTGGGTCATGTAAAATTTATAATCATCGTTATAATAATGAAAAAATATTACATATCTAATAAAAATGACAGTGCAGAGACTAAATTATTATGGACCAATAATTTATATAAATAACCAAAAATAAGTAGAAACTCATTCATTGTGACACATTTTTACATCAAATTTATATACATATGTTACTTACACGAGTAATAAGATTTTCCGCTGGGTTTTCTACACAATAAGGCACGTTGTTGGTGTTTTGTGGCATCCTGTCACGATCTGAGTAAAATGATCATTAATAAATGAGAAATATATGTTTATAATCTGATAAATAATAATAAAATTGTTAGTAGATAATTCGTCACTTATTATAACTTAATTCTAATCTATTGCTAAAGCCATTTGTTTAAACTAATAAACAAGTGCCACAAGCTAGTTGTTCACATGCTGTTATGAACCTAAACTAATAACGATAAAATATAATGATTTCTACTCGTCATTTAAATGATAAACAAATGTTATTAACACAATCACAACACACTAAAACTAACTTACAGTTGTTTCTCAAACTCTGCATTAAATCGTTGGATGTTTTTCTGGAAACGTAATATTTTTATCTATCTTTATATTCATGCCAAAAATCAAAAATGGCCAAAATCTAAATGAAGCACAATCTATGTAAAGCGCCATCTACATTTGTCTAACACAAAACACAATAATAAGAATACAACTTCTAGAAATATCTATATTAAGAAAGGTAGAAAATACTTTACGAAAAAATTAATTTAGTGTACTACACATTTTTTAATTTCATTTCGAAAATAAATATTTACGCCAAACTGATTATACGATCGGCACACGAGCACTGTTTAAATGAAGTTCAAACAAATTGTACGAGATGGCGTTGTTATTAAATAATGCAAAGTTTACAAGAACGTTCATAGATGGCATTAATATAAAGATTCAAAAACAAAATTTTAATGTGCCATGTTGTGACTGGAAACGGTAAATAAGGACAACACATTTGGCGATAGACAAAACAAATACTTAAACCTTACAAAAGAATTAAATTATTAAATATATGTACATATTATTTTTTAGTTTTCTAAAACAAAATATGTATACGATTAATAAAATATAATAAGATCGTTATATATTAAAAAGATTTTAATAATTTATTGATTTTTAACTAATAAATGTAACTTTATTTGTATTTAATCAAATTATTTAATGAAATGTTATATGTTTTACTCACTCGATAACTTTGAATATCTTCTCAGAGTCTTTTCCATGTAGCAAGGGTTGCATCGCTATTTCCTCTTCACCTTCACTATGGTTCATGTCTTCGAATTTACTTTGAATCAAAATTAACATATATAAAATTCAGTTAACAAGATATTTTATTGCTTTTAAAATGAAAAAATAACACATTTATTATATTATTTAGTTAAATTCTTTAACATTTGTTATGTTATTGCTAAGAACTCAACAAAACCTCAATTACTAAGTATATTTTGAAATATGCATATTCCACTACGCTTCTTGAATTCGCGAAGATGGAACCAAAAAATAACAATTCATAAATAAAATTAACAAAACTCACTTTTCATCTTCTGGGATTTTTCCATCGAGACCCAACTCTCTCTGCATCATCCAACTTAACGACTGACTCTCTTTCTTTCCTAAAATTAGTGATCAATAAACTTAATATGAGGAACAGTATTATAACTATAATTTTATAGAATTACTAGAAGACCCGGCGAACTTCGTATCGCCCTATAATCAAGAAATATCTCGTTTTTTTACTTATATTTTTGGAGTTAACCCATTAAAGCCAACAATCTCCGCGTTTTGAAGTGCGACAGAATGATTGACATATTAGTTTAAGTTGTCAAATCTAATGTCAAAAAAAACCTTTGTATCAACAACTACTAATAAATTAAAAATTACTTAAAAAAACACTGTCCAGCGGACAAAATGGTAAATCTAAACCATTCCCAGATCCCCTTGACCACACACAAAAAATTTCATCAAAATCGGTCCAGTCGTTTGAGAGAAGTTCAGTGACATTCACACTCACAGAAGAATTATATATATAAAGATTATTACCATTAGAAGTTGTTTTGACTCTATTGGGCGGTGGATGGTAGAAACTCTCTCGTCCTTTCTTGATGCTCGTCCACACCGCGCCGAAAAGAGTGTGGTTACGCTGTTAATAATAAATAACTAAGATAAGTTTATGTTATATAAAAATACCAATAAATATATCCCAAAACAGACCCAATATAAGATTTCCATAGGATTATCTCATTGAGTTATTAGATTAAGTTTAAAAGTAACAATGAATTATGAATAATATATAATAATAGTTTCGGATTAATACGCTTCATATTAACAACTACATACTTTCAATGTTTCGGATACTTTGCAACGGTGATCATGAAGACGAGATGAAATCCTTTAAATCCTTTAAATGCTCGTGCCTCCCTTAATCCTTAGAATGACTTTTATAGTAATTGTGAGTAACAACTGGCTTACCCGATGCATTGGTTCCACGGTTTCAGCGACGACCTCGTCCAAGTTCCCGGAGATGGCCCTCTTTAGTTCTGGTCCAGCCTCGTGGAGCGTCCTCAGACCTGCTTGTAAGGTCATCTGGTTGGTCTGAACCGAGGCCGCAGCGGCTTGCTCCTTGCGTTTACGGAATCTGTTTGATAGTAGAGCTATTATGATCATTATATTTGTCGCCTATATGTATTGGCGTTTTCAAAAGCTTCAAAAGATGATCCAAATAAATTATTTGAATAGCCAGACTAGAATTTAATATTGCTGAAGTCTCCATTAACAGCCAATGCATATACGCTTATAATTTTGGTGTGTAGTTAAATCTATACAAGTTCTAAAATCATTCAGAGCGAAGAATATTAAGTATATCAATCCCAACAACATGTCTTCTCAGTGTAACTAAAGGAATCCATGCAAAACAAACACTCAAAGATCAGTGGAACGTCTCAAAGCAACAAATTTTTGGTTACGCAGAGAGAAAACATGCTTAGGAATCTCAAACCGGGACATGCGAAAAATAAATTGAGAGGAAAATAACGGATGCTGGGAGATGTACAATAATATATTATAAATCATACAATATATAATAATGCTCTAGTTTAATATTAAACAAACTTTGATGAAAATTTGTAAAAAGATAATAAGAGAAATGGTTTAACGGGAAAAGTGTAAACTGTATATATTTATATATACATATGTATATGTACTAAAAATTGATTGTATGATTTTTGTTTTCATCTAGCATCAAAAAAAAATAAAATCAAGATAAAAATTTATAAGCAACATTCTTGGCGAAATCGTCAAATGAGGGCCAAGAAAAAGCATAAAATACAGCGTTGGTATGGGTTGCTTAATAGTTGAAGGTGGACTTACGCATGGTTCCTATAAAAATAGAAATATAACTGTTAAATTCAGATATTAGTTCTAATATACTTCTAAATACATAATTACATTTACTAGCTACATATAACTACTTGACAGAGAACTTACAGACAGCAGAAGCTCGTAATAAAATAAAATACACCAAGATAACAAAGATAATATGAAGAAGATAAGGGAACTATATTCGATCATGAAAAAAGCAATTTGGAAAATATAATTTACTATTATAATAAAGAATTTGGTCTTTTTTCTTGTAGAGCGTAAGATCGATCCTTTATTTAAACTAATCATATATGTATGTCTGAAAAAGACATATATTATGCCATAAATTGGAAAAATATTTTATTTTTTGCATACAAAGATTCTTTTTTTATTATTTTCCGCAAATTTATAACAATTGAGGACGAAGAGTCAGTTTCGTTGTATGTATTTTTTGTGTGATAGTCCATTTGTGGTTTACCTTCGGAAGTAATCTTGTATGAGGAAGGTGGCGTAAAACTTCCCGACGGTGATCTCGTTAGGATCCCCAGGAGGTGGTACCACCTGGTCCAGGAGCTTCGGAGACGTCCTCTTCCATACTTTCTTTATGATGGCTCGTAATTCAGTATTACATTCGTCTATCACACCTACATAATAATACAAAGGCTTTTAACACTTGAGAACTGGGCAAAAGAAAATTGATATAATTTATTTGAAATGTGCCTAAAATTTTCAATTTAAGTATAATTGGCTTGTATAAACCAGTTTAGATCTAACATACTCACCAAAAAAAAAAATTTTTTTGGCTTTATTAAATCTAGATCTCCCTGAAATCTTTTGCGGAGAATTTATTTTATTATTAACAGTTTTTTTTCTCATTGTAAAGGATAACTTTTCCACATCAAAGGACATGAAAGAATTTGATGGTAATATTACCACTCACCAGTAGTTTTTATCTGCAGCTGAGTTCTTACAACAGCAAACAATGTAGCGTTAAAGTTGACGGTCCCGTCAGAGTTGAGCGGCATGTTCATGGACACGAGACGCTTGCAGGCTGTCCTGTGAGGACACAGCTTACCGAAACCTGGAAGGAATAAGTACCTACTAAGTTCTATCTACATATATGTTATTAAAGTTAAAATAATACTAATGAGAGCTAAGATTCTTGCGAGTATTCATCTAAATGAATTTAATATTTTCAGATTATAATAATTAAAATCGACACATCTAGTCTGCTCGTGATCACGGTTGCTGTCAAGTACACGAAACGAAAAAAATGGGTAGTTTTAAAAATAATAAAATAAAGTCTAGCAATCCAAAAAAAATAGATTAATTTAAATGAATACTCGCTAAGTCATCATCTCAAAATGAAAAGAATATTTTTTATTCTTTGCAATAGGAAAGTTAAAATGCAATAAATATAAATTAAATGCATAAGTTTAATACATTAATATATAACAAAAATATGTAAAAACTTTTTAGAAGTGTTCTCTGCTGACTTTAATACGGTTCTTTACATTTTAAGGCCAGTATTTTTCAGATCTCATGAAATCTGGAAGCATGTGGTATGACATAATAGTAATTTAGTTTGATTAATCAACTCACTCCTAATAGTAACAGAAAATATATTACAATAAAATGGCGTGAAAATAATATAAAACACACTAAACAACCGCATAAAAAGGACAGATACAAAAGTTATAGTTTGTTTAGTTTCAAATGCAACAGCATTTATTGACAGATTAAGTAGGGACTTGTTTTTATCACAATATAATTTAGTACTAGTATCAATAGAAGTACATTTATTGTATAATAAATAACCAATCATACCCAGCGGTGGACTTATTTTTCTCAACAGCGTCACTATATCCAAGTGTTTGATTCTTCCTTTAGCATCTGGATCGTATTCACTCCAAAGTCTGAAAAGAATAAGTTTTCGATTAATAAGCATTTTGTTTTCTTCATAACTTTTGATAAAATATTCCTAAGAAGTCACTGACCTCACAAATTCGTCTAAATGATGCGGTCCGAGTATGGACCAGTCTCGTGTCAAATAATCAAAGTTGTCCATAATAACTGCCACGAATAAGTTAATAATCTGAAAAAGATTGTTTCAGTCGTGTAGAACAAATTGAAATAATAAATTGACAAAATATTTGACTCCATTCACAAATAAATGTTTTCAGTAATATCCAAAGAATTAAGTGAGAAAAGAAAAATGTATATACCATTCCACCCACAATACTAATGTAATTGTAAAAAAATCTCTCTCTTACGAGTATGTTAGATACTTCATTATATAAACATTTAAACACATTATACAAACATTTTAATGACATTTTATCACTATTTATCTGACAACCAATAGAATCCTTAACATTATTGACCAATCATAAAAAATTAAAGCTATTCTATAACACCAAACTATTTCAAATTTTTAAATTATATCCATAGAATATATCGTGAATAGCCCTAAATAGTTGATAAATATGATCAAACTTTACCAGGAAGGTACACAACAACGAGAAGGATATGAAGTATGGGTATGCTAGTCGCGTGCCGCAGCTCTCCTCGGAGGGCGGATCCCCTTCATCATGGAGACAGCCGACCGGCTCGCCCGGGTGTTCCGAGTCGTTTGGTGACAACGCCATCATTATTTCTTGCCACGCCTCACCTATAGAACAACAGTTACTAGGAATTCTATAATGATTTCTAAGTCATCTTGTGGTATGACAGAGAAGGCAAGTATTCTTGGTTTGGATTTACCTGCTTAACGTAATAATTGTCAGCATAAATATATCCAGCGTCAGACTAAAATGGCTACTAATTTAGAAGAGTTTTGAAATATCAAACCATGTTAAATGACATATAGAAATAACGAAGAGTCCTTGAAATATTTTGAAAAAGGTTGGTACCTAATTATATTTGAATTAATTTAATAACAATGAGGTTTGTGTTATTGGAATTAAAAAAAACGTATTTAATAGGAATATGAATCAAAAATGTTGATACCTGTAGCCGATCTAAACAACACCATCAAAGCGCCACCGAATGTTTGGAAGTTATTGTTCCTCGTTATTATTTCATCGTCTTCCTGAACTTTGCCGAATAACTGCACACAAAATATAAGTCCTGTGAATTTGTCTTTATTGAAAGAGATTGGCAAAAAAATTTACTCACCTGCATCCCGACCACCGCGTAGATGAAGAACAACAAAACAATCAACAAAGCTACATACGGCAGAGCTTGGAAAGACTTTATGAATGTCCACAATAATGTTCGTATTCGTTCCCCTCGAGATAATAGTTTTATAAGTCTCATCGCACGGAATAATCGAAAGAAAGCTATATATTTCAAATGTGTTCCCTGGAATATACAAAAACTTATGATTCTAATACATTTAACACTACTACGTTACTATTTTGCTAATTCTAATTTCACACAAATCTACTTCTAAAAATCACACAAACACACATCACACTTCTACCACCTAAAACAACTACTAAAAAAATAAAAAATTCACTTATTTATGGATTAGGAATAAAAAAAAACACTAACATTATCATGTACCTCTTTACTTTCCTTTGTTGTGGCGAACTGTAATTGGACACTTTATTAGAAAATGGAAATGTACAGTATTTTATTAAATCCTACAATAAAGAAATATCTTTACCTCATTTGGTTCTTTATACTCATTAACCTGTGTTACAACAATGTCTATAATACTACCGACTACCAGAATAAAGTCCGTTGTGTTCCAAGCATCACCGAAATAGTTCTGAAAATACATACATTTATACATATCTTCAATAAAAAAGAGATCACAATATCTACACACAGTACCTTGAATCTGAAGGCAGCCAACTTAAAAACAAACTCCAACATGAAAACTGTTGTCAATATCATGTTCAAATAATCCAACACCTGGAAATATAACAATTATAAAACAATATTAAATATGAGAATAGAATTTTTAAAGAAGCTTTGGATATCCACAATTCAGTTCATTTATTACAATCAAATTAGAGACTAGAAAACAATTGTTTAATTACACAATTCAAGTCTTTTATTAAGGTATTTTAGGGCTATAGGCTACATAGCACACACTGTAAGAATAGTAATACTGAAACTTAGGATAGGTTAGGTTTAGAGATGATTTATTTCCCATTAAGAACAAAATTCACTTACATAGGAAACTTAAACTAGTAACATAATAATAAACATTTATAAAGTTAATGGTGAACTTATTTATACAAACATTCAAATATAATAAAGTTTGACAGAATACAGTAAACTTACTTTTTTATAGTCCGGCTTAGCGTCATGGTACTTCATCATCAGAGCGATGGTGTTCAAAACTATGAAGAAGAAAATGACGTACTCGAAACGTTGTGAAGTCACGAACCACCAGGTCTTATACTGGATGCGGTGCTTAGGAATGTACCTGAAACATGAATTGCAGAATTAACTGTTAGCTTATGTCAAGGAATAAAGAAAGGGATTTGTTATATGAAATGAATTTTAATGAAAAATTCATCTCTTGTTTTCTTCATCATTGTTATATTTAAAAAAAATAAAAAAACAGAGAATATCCCTAATTATGTCTGTTCACATTTCGTAAAAAACAAAAAACTCCGAATGACGTCTTTTTGCCTTAATCAAGTATCGTAAGTTTTAGGACAATTAAAGATTGCAGTAATATTTGATCTGATTTTATTGGACTTCTATTTTAATTCTTAGTTTTTTTATCTTTGAGCTGTCTCCTTAACTCCTTTAATAATCCCACTCAAGTACCTCCTAACAGGCTTAGCTTTGAGAGCAAACTCGATACAGTTCCTCTGATTCTTGTCAAGTTCACAATCCTTGAATTCCTGTTCTCCCTCCTTCTGGAATGTTACTATGACGAAACCCACGAAAATATTAACCTGAAAATATACATATTAGGATGATAAATACGATTTTGATCCAAATGAAAGCTGCTTCTTTTAGAACGAAAATCCTAAAGATGTCTTATGCTCACCATAAAGAATGCTATCACGATGATGTAGCTGATATAGAAGAACGCCACCAGAGGCCGTGAGTTCTCTACCGGTCCATGGTTCTCTTCATTAGAATCCATTGAGGTTGACAATAAGCTACAAATATTTATTTAAAAAAACACATAGCATCTTCATTGCAAATTGAATTTTCTTCCTAACATAATAGTTGCGTAATTTATGTAGCAATAATATCAAACAAACTCGATTTTGGTAACTTTTGAATCAGTAGGCAGAAAAAAACAAATAAGCTTTAGAGTTTTTACTAATGTATTATGAACCCTTACCCCGGCCATCCTTCAAATGTGGATACGGTGAACAAAGTCAACATCCCACTCATGACGTCATCGAAATTGAATTTATTACGTATCCATACCCTGTCTTTAATCTTTGGTGAACCATTTTCGTATATCAGATAAGAACCTCTAAAATAAATAAAAAACTTTCAGATTAAATAAATTAAACTAGCCGAGCTCGAGAATAAACAAAATTATAATGAATAATTACAACGATATAAATTCTTAATTACTACTATTATTAAGAAGTTATCTATAGAACTTTTATGATATACATACACATAATTTAATCATTATATATGAAAAATACTTATATCGCCATTTCAATAGTAAATAAGATTTAACTTACTGACACTCATCTCTCGTCACTTTGGAATTATCTGTGCATTGACAAAATTTACCCTGAAACCGAACTTATATTACATTTACGATATAAAGACTTAAGAATAACACATAAGTGACCACCTGACATAATATCGGCATCACATTTGAAAAGCTTTGCCAAACTTAAGCACCATTATGTTAAGACATTGCAAAATGCCTCAAAAACTGACCACAAAACAAATTACCTTGAACAATTGTATACCGACAACCGCGAACATAAATTGCAACATGTGGTTTATGAGAAGAATGTTGCCAATTGATTTTATGGAAGCAAAAACGCACTTGACAACATACTGTTACACGGACAAACAAACAGGCAAAAAAATGTTACCCAAAAAAAGTCATTACATTACCGAACCAGAGAACCATTTATCCCAAAGTGTAGTTGTGTACAGTTGCGGGACATTATGTGTAAAAAAAAATAAACAAACAATATGTTAAAAATCAATAAAACAGCTTACTTACATTGCGTTAGTTCATCTGTATATAATCATAAATAAATAAATAATAAAAAATCAAAAATGCCAGCGTCCTGATCTGACCATCCAAATAAAAAAAAAATCACAAGGAACCAAATGAACCAAAATGTGTACCTCACTCCTATTCCGAGTGGAAATGTCCAGGTAGGGATTGGTGCAAAAAAAACACACTAAAGCACCTAATAGAGTCCAAAAGATCACAACTCAACTAGCACACAACACCTTTGGGCTAAATTAGGGCTAAACAAAACATGCTCCTAAAAAGCAAATTTTTGGACCCACGGACAAGCAGTTAGTCTCGAACACGTAAAAGCCAAACACAAACGAAACGAAACCAGATGATATGATTCATCACACAGGTCTAAGTCAGTGGGTGCGATACTTACTCCAGCGACAGATAATATACCCAAAGGTGTCGTTGATACAGACTAACTGATTCCCTACCTTGAACATTTGCACCCCCATTACAGCGAACATGAACTGAAGAAGATTGGTCACCAGCAAAATGTTGCCTATCGTTTTTATAGCAACGATCACGCACTGAACTACGTGCTAAAAATCGATAAAATTTACTTTATTTCTCGTAATATTCTTGAAAGAAACTACTAGATTACTACAGAAGTGTGTCTGAACTGACCTTTAATCCCTTGGCTCTATTGATGGCTCTGAGCGGTCTCAACACTCGGAATACTCTCAAAATCTTTATGTATGACACATTATTGTTACTGGAAGAATCAAAATATAAATATATTACATGATTAACTTAAATTTTCTACTGTGTACTTATTTTTATCTCGTCTATTAGTTGAGTTTAGATGTTTCAAAAAAAGAATATCCAGTAGCATAAAATAGAAACGAAAACAAAGTCAAGGTTAGACAAAATCAAAATGTATTTATTTATATAAATAAAACTCACCCGCTCGAAGAGATAAGTGAAACGATAACCACCAGTAGATCTAACAAGTTAAAAGCTGATCGACAGAAGGCGTCCTTGTGGAAGATGAACCCGTAGGTGATCAGCTTCAACACCAGCTCGATCGTGAAGACCGTTGTGAACACGTAGTCGATTTTACGAAGCATCTGAATTATAACATTATAATATACATATGTATGGAATGTTGACTTGACATGAAAACTTCAAGGGTAGTTACTGGTTTCAAGAGCTAATTGAAACTATTGTATCTAAAAGGGAATGTTCTTTGAAAGAAAATGTAATTTGTCTACAATAAAAACTCCAAGAAATATTTATACTATCGGGTACAAAGCGTCATTGGTTGAAATAATTAGCTCCAGTTGTGTATAATAATATAATTTGTGGTTTGAAATAATATATAAACATACTTCACTCCAGTTCTCATTGCCCTTTCTCCCAACAGGATCTTCCATTGCCAACATCAATGACGACGCCAAAATGCAAAGTAGAATCAAATTTCTAAACCAAGAATTGTTTTGGATTTTGTAGCAGGTGACTCGGAACCTGAGAGAAGAATAACATGAAATACCTCAAAGATGTAGAAATTACTTATGTTTATTTATTCTACAATTACTCAAGATTTTTATTATACAAGGACATGTATTGGTATAAGTGTTGCTCCTCAAACCCGATAATAGAATATATGTAAGGAATTCTTATGCTAGCTTACCAATTAGTTTTAGAAAAGATGAAAAAGCTACTGCCATCAGGTATCGGCTTCTCCTGGGTTTTGATCTCAACCTCAGAGAGTCTTCTCGGTCGAGCTGATATCGTTGGTTGTCGCTTGGGAGGAGAATCTGCTTTTTTTATATCGCCTATTATATGAGACAAAAAAAAAACAAATTTAATAAATCAAAGTATATAAACTCGTTTAATATAGTCTAAGGTGAGTCCGTGCAATAAATTCGTTAAGTTTCTTGCAATAACTCTCAACAAACTTGGCTTTTATTGTTTTATAGCATACCATTTTGTTTTTCAACAGCTACAAGTGCGTTATTGGCGTTATCTCCCTGATCCTGTTCTTCTCCCTCCACGTCTTCCTCAGACCCTGTCTCCTCATATTCGTGTTCTGATCTGTAAAGTTATGTCGAACATTAATAGATTTAGCAAAAATTATTTGTGCTCTAGAATTATCTGTCGTAAGGATCACAACGCTTTGAACAAAGATTTTTAGGCTAATCCACAGTCTTAGAATAGAAAACATCGTGAGAAAGACCTAATATCTTATAAATCCTAAGACATTTGCTTAACTAAGCTATATTATTTGGGCTAAATAATTACTTCGTATCTATGTGACATTATTCACTTTAAAAAGATAACAATAGTATTTACTTCTTGTTAGAAACTTACCCCGCGACTCTTTTATACGCTTTATACTTCTGGCTGCATGCATACATAAGAATCGTATGAATTTTATTAATAGATTATCATTTCTTATATATATGAAGTCAAACTCACCCTTCACTGGAATACCCTTCTTCTTCGTTTACGTACTCATCGTCTGTCTCACCTCTTTCTTCATCCAGTTGTGGATTACCTGCTTCTGGATTTTCGGCATCCTGAAAATATACATTTATTTATATTATAAAGTATTTAAGCCAATGATCATTGATTTTGCAAACTTAATACTCGTAAGACTTCTTCGTATATAACCACTTATTTCCTACACATAGAGAACAGGGCCATTTCATTGGGATATAATCCTATATTATTTCTGTACCTCTTTCTCCTTAACAATCTCTTCATCCATGTCTTCAGCATCACCCAAGTTGTCGACGGCGATAGCCAAGAACACGTTCAAAAGAATATCTGTTTTGTGATTTAAGGTCATTAACGCTAATTGAAACTGTATGACTGGTACTTGATTTTGTAAGTTTTGTCACCGATACTCAGTTGATCCAGTTAATGGTTCCTGCTTTGCAACCTACATGTATAGGTAAAAAATATTAGCTAGAAACAGGACGGTTGAGACCTTAATATTTGTTTTACTTCATCTATATGTAAAAGTATATTTGATTGAAATATATTCATAATCAAAAAAAGGATACAATTGCCGCAAATAAATATTATGATGAAATATATAGACGCCAACATCCCTGGCGTTCCAACGCCTCCGTAAGCGTTGATACCATGATACATCACGACGTTCCAATCCTCGCCGGTTAAAATCTGATGATAAAACGAGAAGACATTATACAGGGTGACTGGTGAATTACTATCAATATTTAAGGAGAATACTCGGTACATGATTCTCATTCGAATTATGTAAAAAATATAGGCACTTAATTTTAGACAAAATTTCCGTATAAATAAATAAAGTGTTGACACGTTCCAAGTGTTCCAAGTGTGGACGCGTGCGGCGGCGTGCTGATACAACACCACGCCCCGCTCGCTTATGTGTGAGTGTGAGTGTATACCTAATCTGTAGGGTGTTCATACGATGCGTAATTAATTACATAACTTTTGGTTAACTTTACTTAGAAGTTTATTAATATTTATGTTATATTAATTTTTATTTTGTCATATATGATCGTCAAATATCACGTCCTCAAGTATCGATAGTAATTCACCAGTCACCCTGTATAAAAACAACTAAATAATGACATTTTATTCCATTTAATTCGTGACTTTCAGTACCTGAAACATTGTCAGCACAGCTTGCCAAAAGGAGTCAAAGTTATGTCGTTCTTTTTGTTCCTCCGCTGCGTAGTCAAATCTTCCACCGAATACCTGCATGCCAAGAAGGGCGAATATCATGATGAAGAGGAAAAGTAGAAGTAGGAGAGAAAAAATTGACTGAATAGAATTTAGCAGAGACGCCACGAGGTTTGATAGAGATCGCCAGTACCTGGAAATATTACCATATACATTATGCTATTCAAATATGTAAGTGTAACTATCTTAAAGAAGATCTTACAGAAGAAAGTTTATAATCTTATTACGTTAATTGGTAATCGCTGCTCAGCGATAAGGCCGCCTGTTGTACCTCATACAAGTACAATATATAACGAAAATGTATTATTTTAGTTTTAGTAAATAATAAATAAATAAATAATGGGCATCAGTTTTAAGGTAAAATTTTTATATACATTTTATTTTATTGTTCAATGAAATTCTACACTCAGAAACTATCAAGATTTTTTTTTAAATCACCACTGTAAGCTACGTCTTTATACATATAATATATTTTTGCTATATTTCCAATGAAACAATGGGATTATTTTCCTACTATTGCTCAGACTTAATATGAAGATTCTATATACATACTTGGTAACCTTGAAGACCCTCAACAGTCGAACACATCGCAACACGGAGATACCAAGCTGAGGTATTTTGTTGGTGTACGTGAGACCGAGCTCCACAATAGAACACACCATCACGAAACAATCGAATCTATTGAAGAGAGACACGAAGTAGCCCTGCGGGTGTGAAATACGAATTGCTTATAAAACAGAGGTGAAACTTCATAGCATCCAAAGAATTCACCGTGCGGGTGCCGGGTCCATCGCGTTGGAGGGAAAAAAATAATAATTATTGTCTCAATTAAGAAGAATAATTTGTTTTATATCATGGCAAATAGAAAAAACCGCTTTAAGACCATTATTATTCGTCTTCACACTTATGGGTCAGTCTAAATCAATTTTATGAGTCCATCGATGGGCATTTTACAGCTTATTTTCATTACCATTACTACTTTCTTTATTCTTTTAAATACCTGAATTCCCAAAGCGTACATCTTCACGAGCATCTCAGTTGAAAATAAGACCACAAACAGCACGTTTGCATAATTCTGAAATTGATCTAGCCAGGGCTCTTGACTGAAACATAATAATTATCAATATTGAGATATATAACAATGTCTGCCAGGTATGAACTAAATCAATACAATGAACTATTACTATTCTTCTTTAAGTAATTTAAGGAAAAGTAGAGAAAGGTATCAGCATCAATCTTAATGAGAAAAAAATTTGTACTATGATAAAAATTACCCATAATGTTCTGTCGCTAGCACTAAAGTGTTCAGAAAGACGAGTACAATGATAGCCCAGTAGAATGTCTGTGACTTGACCGCTTTACGACACGCGCGACGCATACGACGATTTACCTGATGAGAAATGAGTAGTTAATGTTTTAATACGGATTTTTCTAAAAATCTGACGATGTTTATAGTACAAAGAGTATAAATATATTTTTTGGAAGGATAGTGCCATGTCGCTTCTTCTATGCCAATCAAATATAACAAAATCTTCATAACACATAAGTTTACAGCCATTATCAACGAAGATTGCAATTTCTAAATAAAATAATCAGTAGAGATACCAAAAAACAAGAAATAAATAACTTCGACATTATTTCCTGTACAAAAAATACAATAATTAAATTGTAATATTACTATGCTACTTCTGTAATTGATTTGAAAACTACATACAAACCCAACAAATGTAATATATACTGTTACTATAAATTCTAAATATAAAGTACCTTATCAAATCTTCTGCAATATATCTTGCAAGAAACTGTCGTCGGCGGGTCACCGTTCACGTTATTCTGAGAGCCATCATTACTTCTGCGTTCTTTTTTGTTTCCTATAAATATTATTTATTGATTAAATTAATGTTTTAATGTTAATACAATTAAGGTCTATTATCTCCTAATAGTGTTTATTATTTCTTTAAATTTGAATGATATTTTGCAATTCTTAAAAGCAGTTATTATAAGAGCCTATCATTTTTTTTACCTTGAGAGTCTTGATCTTCTTCCTTCTGCGCTTGATCATTCTCAAGATCCAACTCTTCAGCAACAGTAATCCAATTCAAATATCCTTTGAGGTCTTCTTCGAATTGTTGCCTTTCACGAGATTTTTGAAAATCTCCACGATTTTTTGCCTTCTCTCTTTCCTTAGAAAATTCTCTGAAAAATAGAATAGAATTATTTTGACTTTGTATTTATTGTGAAGTAGGTACGTTTTATCTAAATCTTACCCGGATAAGACACCAAGAATAAGGTTCATAACAAAGAAATTTCCGAAAATAACTAATGACACAAAATATATCCACACCCACGTGTTGCCTTTTACATCTGCAATCTGGAATAAAACAAGACGTACATAAAACCAGTAATAAATACATTTAGATGTTGATAAAGAAAAAATATTAAACTCAAACATGTATCAAAAAAATATTGTAAGTTATTGTCAAACAGAAGTCTTATAGAAGAATAACTGCTTTACAAAAATGTAGATTTCCTTTTCCATTGTTTAGTTATATCAAATATTTAAAGTCTCCGTACCCGTACATTTAATAGCATTAACGTCAAAACATTTTTTCACATCTAAATATAAGATACCATCTTACACCTACAATTTATATAAACGACAGAATGAAATAAACAAAAAACGGCTTTTAGCATTATTTATATACGTACGAAATTAAACGAAATTCCATGATAGAGAATATTTTGATGTAAACTATACGTACGGCGTACATGATGTCTGTCCAGCCTTCAAGTGTGATACATTGGAACACTGTCAGCATGGAATATCCGATGTTATCGAAATTGGTGATCCCGAAATTTGGTCCAAGCCAATAATCACGGCATATCTGTCCTTCCTCACAATGATTCCCAACATCAGCGTCTCTGGAGCACGGAGTTGGCTCTTCCACCATCTTCTCTGTAAAGATTTTACATTTCACAATAGAGGAAAAAGTACCAAGTAAAGTGCAACTGAACATTTTTTTTGTCGTATTTTATATCTGATTAATGAAATTTTAGAATTTGTACTATAATTGTTTTGATTCATTCACAGTTAAGTTGTCTAAGGCTTGTTCTTTCAAGACCACACTACAGAAATAATAATAATTTAATAGACTTTTCTAGTTATGAGTCCAGCTATCTAACAGGTATTACTTCAATATCAGTGTAAAGCATTCTAAATTATCAAATTACACAACCACTGATTTTGTATATCACACAATTTGAATAATATCTATAAATAAAAATTAACTTACTAGTAACATTATCAAAACAAGTGTCATGTAACACTCCTGAGAATAGTTCAAGACCGATGATAGCGTAGATGATGATGACGAATAATACAAGGAAAGCGATGTGGAATAGTGGTACCATCGCTTTCAATATTGAGTTGAGCACGATTTGAAGACCTGAAAATACATTGTAGAACTAGTCTAGATTTTGGCCCCTATTACTAATATACTACTACTACTAATACACTACTACTACTACTAAAAATTATTACAAATATAGGTTAAAAATAATTTGAAGGACAATAAGAATAGATTTAATACATTCAATGGTAAATAGTATCAGAATATAGGAATTTGATACGTACTTGGAACTCCTGAAACTAATCGTAGAGGACGAAGCACTCTGAAGGCTCTCAATGCTTTCACATCGAATAGGTCTTTTGAAATGTTTTGAAGTATCTGACTGGCTATGCTGTGGAACAAAAATGTTATATGAATGAATAATGAATAAAGAACTTGGATTATAATTAAAATGGTATGTATAATCATAAAATCGTTTGAAACTTAATTTTTCACGACAAAAATGTCTCCATTCCCAAGTCTAGTTAAAATATGACTAATAGTTTAAAATTGAAGGTAGTTTTTACTAATTATTTGACAGATGTTTACACATTTCTTTATTGACAATTTGGATTAAATGAAACAAAAAAAATTGCTAAAGAGTATGCCTAGATTAAATTCTCATAGAAAGAGTTTATCACGTGTATTATAGAGGACATCGAGTATCTTTTATAGTTTCTTAAAATACATGAATACGAAAAGGTGAACGTTTTTTGGGGCAAACCTTGTCATAAGCATCACCAATATAAACTACTCCTGGCTGTAATTAGCTTAGATTAGGTAACCACTTGCCAATTTTCATGAAGCATATAGTTAAAAATATTTTGTTAACAACGCCGAAATGTTACAAAAAATATCGTAAACTATAAATTTTGTTTGACCCTATTTTGAAAATGGGAATTAAATTGCGCCATAGCTATCAACGCGCGGTGTTGTTATGACAAAATTTTATTACTGTTGATGACATTTAATTAATGTTGTCAGTTAACAACAGAATTTCGAACACACATTTCTCTTTTTAATTTTTTATTTATAGATAAATCGACTCAATGAAAGGGAATTCCTGAGCTTATCCCAATTCATTTATATTTATAATAAAACTGTTGCCAAAACCAGTTTGACTTTAATATAGAACTACAGCCCAAGGACTAAAAACTATTTGTGTTATTCCCCCATTTGTAACATTATCCTTGACCCAAAATATAATATACCTCAATACTGATAGCTTGTGAGTGAATTGTTACGACCTGTTCACATAACATAAGCGGAGCGGAAAACAGAACTTATATAATCATAGCCTTACATCGTAGCAGCGATAATGTATCTGAACTAATTTCTATATGAAAATTTTGAATAACAATTTACACGCAATTTGGCTGGTTTACAATTTTCTAAGCTAAAAGTATCATAATTTGCAAAATGTTCGTTTAATGTTCATAATAAATTACGTGATTCTTATCTAGTAGTGTAGAATGTAATGCATAACATTTCAAGCGAGTATGGTTATATTATGTTTAATCTTTTACGTAAAGAATGATGAATTTTCCATATTTTTCTATATGTTATTTTAATTTAAATGAAACTTTTTATAGATATGAAGGCATTTTGTAATACATATTATTATGTGTATTTTAACATGTGTATCAATTTTGTTACACATTAACAGAGGTTTTGTATGAATATGTCTGAAAGATATAATTTCGACAAACATATTGCAAAGACATAATGTGTCCCTCTTAGTGGCTGTTTAAACATTAATTTTACAGATGAATCGTAAAAATCTTATTAACAACAAATGCTTCGTCGTATTTGTTACCATAAAATAATAAATAAATGTATATTGTTTTATACACAAATATATCATCCACGTAAACTTATTGCTTACCCAATAGTCACAATAGTGAAATCGAGACTGTTCCAAGTATTCCTAAGATAGGCGCCAGGATGGAACAGGAATCCGTAAGCTATAATCTTCATCACGCACTCACAGGTGAAGATGGCCATAAAAATCCATTCCACCTTTTCCTAATGAAACCCAAAGAAAGATATCATCATATGTCAGCTTCCTAGCAACAAATGGATTTTTGAAGGTTGTGGAATTTATTTTGTATTGAGTTATCCTTTTAAACAATGCTAGATATAGTTCGAAGATTTTGGAAGTCTCCGTATATTGATTAATATAATAGTTAGTGCATATATGGTCGCTAAACTAAAAAGTATGAGGAAACTTCTATGTGTAGGGAATTTCATTCATAAACGTGTATTCTACAAGACCATTCAAGATTTCTATATCTGGAATGAACTCGTATGCCCAGCGGTGAGATTATACATTGAAACTATTTTTAAATATAAATATTATTTTGCTATTCTGTAACTCATGAAAAATAAATAAAAAAGAAATTATAAAAAATATTATCATGTAATTTCGCAAGATTTATTAGGCAAAGGACGTTCCAAAGACATTTTATTTCTAATTATCTATCATGTAAAATTATAGGACAATTTATTATAAATTTTATATAACCTTGAGTTGTAAATGATAGTAGTAAAAGCTGAGTTTTATTGATACATTGATAGCTATAGATTCAAGTAATAGTTAGTCAGTGGTGGCCTAGTGGTTTAAAGGTCCGCTTCTCATGCAAGAGAGCGCGGGTTCGATCCTGGCCCAGGCAAGTACCAATGTGATTGAAAAAAAAAACTATTAGCCAAATCTATTCACAACATGTAAGGCAGACCCTAGCTAAAGCTGGGAAATTGCCAGAGAGAATAAGAAGATTCAAGTAATAGCTTACCAATATTTGATTTGTGTTGTTTGTGTCCCCAGAAGGGTAGGGAGTGAAGACTGCTAGCGCTATGCAGTTGGCGAAGATTGTCGTCAATATCATGTACTCAAACGGTCTGAATTTCGTTTAGGAAATTAAGAACTACGAATAGATTTTGTTCCTATATTATTAATAACTATATTGTAATACTGTATGGTTAAGATTTAAATGTAACTAATAATGAGATCTAAGATTTTCGCGAGTACTCAGTTAAATGAAACTAATATTATTCCGATTGCGACGCGTATTTTATTATTTTAACTACATACTGCCGACGTTTCGGTTACTTTTCAGCAACCATGATCATTAAGACGAGATGAGGCGAACGAGTTGTTTTCGAGAATTATCGTGTAGATTTTACAGGAGTTCTTAATTGGATTATTTTTATGCTAATACAATTATCCAAGCCAATCATTGTGTAAATTGATTCAAAATAACTTATTACGGAAACGAAAACCTTTACCGTCATAAATAAATACTTAATAAGAATAATGGAAAACTGTTATCAAATTATTGAATTGTCATCGTTTCTTGATACGCATGCAAAGTTTCAAATTATTCAGACTTCTAGATACCGAAAAAAGTTAAGCTCATAGATTCCGTTATATACTGTTGAATATTTATTTTTATCATATAAAAATAATTTAATTTGTTAATCCGTCTGAGGACAGCACTTACAAGAAATAATTTTGATATCTATATTTTCTTTATTCTATACTCATGTATCTTGTCTATGATCACTTGTACTTGTGAAGAGTTTCTAGTTTTGTTCAACAGAAAATCTCATTTTCATTAAATATTATAAGAATTCTATACAAAACCTAAGTTATTACACACAAACCAAGCTTATATGTATAAAAAAGGATACTTCCATTCAATGACGTCATAGCAAAATTTTCTTATCGGATTCTTTTTGCCGAGACAGAAGAGACTTCTCTCTGGTTTCTCTGGCAGTGGCTTCCCTCTTGGCCTGGCCTGTTTTCTTGGCTGTGGCTTGGCGGCGGCCTGGCCAGTGTCTGGCACTTCAGCGTCTGGCGTCGTGGCATCGGTTGCTTGAACTTGATCCGCCATTCTCACCTGATGGCATACGTTACACAATAGTACTTATATTAGTATACCATATATTGCATTTTTTCATGTACATTATAAGAAAGTTATTATGAAATTAAAATAATATAGAAATAACCAATCTATGTCGCAAAATTATGCTCGTTTTATTCATACCTTTTACGGCTGAATATTGTGACATAAAAAGCGAGCAAAAATCTTTCCTCTCAAGCATTTCCCTATAAAAAAGCGTCACCAATAATCTATTTATAGTCAAGATAGATAAAATAGTCAACAAAGTATCGATTATTATCAGTATCACTATGTACTATGTGTATTTCTTATATAAATGTTATTTTTATAATACAATTGTCCCTGACTTCATAATATTCAGATGTGTTCTAATTCAGGACACGAATGGTCGTAAATTACGACAGAGATGAATCTAAAATATAATAGGTCGTCAGTGGGACGAGATTGAACGACACGTAAACTTCTGTTACGTTCGACGTAAACACGTAAACTTCTATTACGTTTGTTCGTAAATATGAAAAGAATAGTAATACTAAATTTATCTATACTGATTATGTCACATACTTTCGAGAAAATTATGAAATTAAAAGTCTCTTTTAACAATCCAAAGCGAAGCTCAAACGATAAGTTTTAGTAGAATATTTAAACTATACTGAGCATTCATGATCAATAAATTACTCAGTTCTAAATGTTTTGTACCAAATTGAGCGGAAAACATTAATTTTACATTTTAATTTATTAGATATACTTCGTTTAACTTTTATATATGTTATGCTGACGATTCACACCTTTATGTTATATGTTATTTGTTTAGTTTTAATTTATTTAATTTTCATCATCATCATCAGCCTATCAGAGCCCACAGCTGAGCAGCCTCTTCTCACATGGAGACGATTTGAGCATTAATCACCACGCTTGCTCAAGACAAATTAAATAAATTAATTATTGTTTAAATGTATTTGAACATAATTATTATATATACTTTAATGAAAGTTAGTAATTAAAACAAGTAAAAGCCAAACCCAGCTTTATTTAACTTTACTTAAGTTTATTTAAGTAAATATTTTACATATTTAAACTGCCAATTAAATTTAAATATATTTATAATTCAGCACGTCTTCTTGATTATTGAATGAAACATTCTATAATTTTGTTAAAATTTCAATTAAAAATATATGTTTTGTAGTATATATTATTATTTGTAGTTATTCTTAGAGGCAAGATATTTGATATATATATAACATACTTTAATTAAATTGTGTATGTAATCTGTGTATGTCCTAAAGCGTACTGATAAGTTTAATATTTTCTAGTACTATTATTATATATCGATTGCCATAAAGCCTTCGAACGTGTCCCGACGGCGCCTCCGTTAAATGAACCTTTAACTTCACATTTATGTAACTAGATTTTACATGCGACTCCGCTTGATATTCGTAGTTTAGGTTACAATTTAACGTGTGTTGCTTTTTTGTAATACTAGCACTGAAACTATAGACTTCGGTTCGGTTTAGTAAAATTTCACAAAAATTTTAATTATTCTTTTATATAATTTTATATTACGAAGGTCACGAGCTCAGTTACGTAGTTCCTAAGGCTAGATTCGTCGAAAATTTGTACGCCGTAGAAGTGAGAGCGAGAGATATAATAGGTAAATCTCTCTAAAACCTACTAAAAGACTTAGGCCTGTCCAGAACTAATACCAATTCATTCTTGGAACCCACTTCGATGGCAGCCCTAGTATTTTCGTTTCGTGGAGGTGAGCGTTTAACGCGCGCTAGATAGTGTCCCTTAAACCTACACCTGGGTCACAAGTCCCAGTCACTGTTGAAGCTCCTCTCACTACAACGATGGACCCGACACACGCACCGTGAATACATGGAATGATGAGAAATTCCGTCTCTTATAATATAGTAATTAGTTATAAGGTCTACATCAATACAGTTTATTCCCCTAGACACAAAAATTGACTTTAAAGAAACAATGATTAAAACAACATACTTACATATATATTGATTTTGTTTTGATACTTAGAAAAACATTAAATACCATACCAAATCGAGACATACATTGTATGAATATAAATTACTGTATCCTTAGTCCAAGTTAACATCTCCACTACATATGGAGTGTTAACAGTTTCAATCATGAATCTTCTTGTTTACTAAATGAGAAACGGGCAGCTTCGAATGTGTGAGGATGTGAAAGTAGATGAAGCATAGTAAATTAATCTATTTAATAGAAGTATAGAAATGGTATGACAGAGTTCTAAAACAGTAAGATTATTACTATAATGATTATAATACAATTTCTAATACGCCTTATTTTAATGACATCTAAAACTTTCGTGAGTAGTCATTTAAATGAAAGTAATATTTTTGGAATTACTATCCGTATTTTATTATTTTAACTACATATTACCGACGTTTCGATTATTTTTCAGCAACCGTGATCATTAAGACGAGATGGGAATTCATATACTCTTGATTTTTTCCACAAACAATAAATAAATTCTTCATTCATTACAAAGTTATCAAAGATTTAAGAAAAAAAATTTTTTTTTAATGTTAATGTCCTGCTTTGTATGTTTTTGTGCACATACGAAAGCTTTATTAATATCTCAAACAATGAAAAGTTATGGAAGTTCGATGCACTGATAATTTTTTTAATGGAAAAAATTAGTAAGAATTACTGTATCACGTATATATTGACCTCTAACAGATCTTTGTATTAAAAAAGATATTAGCATCTGATCTCGTGGGTGTAGTTCAATGAACTTTCACGATTTGGGAATAATTTGATTTTTTTTTAATGTAGTTACTATTATTTGTAGATTGATTTTCATTGATTTTATTTTCTGTTGTAACAATGGTTACATTTTTTTTAAGTTATAGATCTTATCTTTTTATTAGAAATGTAGCTATATACGAGTAGCTGTCCGGCCAAAATCTATTTGTCCTTAAATACAGTAGATAAGATGATTTTGGATTTTAATATATTTTTTTCTTTATCGATCGACTGAGTCTTTGTTCTATGTCCTTTTTCTGGTTCCAAGCTATCTTTCCACCAACTTTCACCATATCCCTACAGCCGTCTCTAATTTATAAATAGTGTAACCAACATGGCTTTTTCTATAGAAATAATAGCTCAGCTTTCAGCAATTGAATTTAATCATACATTTTATTTCTCACACGAAGTTAAAACTACGTACATTATATAAAAAAGCATATTAACTTAAAAAAAATCCAAAATATTGAACCCAATATTGCAAATAGTTATTTTAAATACAATTATTAATGCTTCAGACCTATTTACTAAGTTTTATGATGATGTAATAACTTTATATATTATAATAATCGCCACGCTCTCAGCATGAATTGACTGAATTAAAAGCTTTGTCTGGTCGTGACTACAGCTTCATATCGATTCACAGACAGACAATTTAATTTGTTTATTTAGCAAGAATAATATTAGATATTAAATTATAATTAAATTTTAATATTCATAGGTTTAATTTGTCAATAATATTTGGCTGAAACTTTGATAAGTCAATTTTGAGATTAGATGCAGAGAAAAAATTTCAGTGAGTCAAAACTAAGACGAAACGAAACCTCTCATCATTCAATGTATTCACGGTGCGTGTGTCGGGTCCATCGTTGTAGTGAGAGAAGCTTCAACAGTGACTGTGACTTGTGACCCAGGTGTAGGTTTAAGGGACCCTATCTAACGCGCGTTAAACGACCACCTCCACCGTCCAAGCTCCTCTACCTAGCTAACCAAATTTGAAAACAACATAATAAGCTTCTGGCAGCAACATCCATAATTAATCCGTGTCATTTAACATAATGCTGCAGTTATGCCTTGACCTTACAATCAACGGAATTTCGATAAAAATAATAGCCTGTATCTTATTCTCATCTCTAAACTACTTTACTGTAAAGTTTTATCAAAATCCTTCAAGCAGTTTTTGCGTGAAACTGTAACAAATATGCATCGACTCATATCCCATACATCCTTACAAAATATCGTTTTTATAAAATTAGTTAGGTATAATTAGAATTGTCTATTACTACTCTTGTGGCCATTTAAAAGAACATTTTTAAAAATCCATTAGAATATTATTATGGAAAATTTAAGTTTTTATACATTTTATATTTAATACTGGCGTTTGTTAAATGAAAAAGGATTACCATTTTAAAACTTCAGCTCATAATTTTATTTAAGCTTTTACACTTTATTGAACTTTTAGATTTGATTATTAAAACCTCTTTGTTCTTATCTACTTCTATTGGAAATGATGAGAAATTTAAGGCAAGTACATATATGCTTAAAATTATTCATTTGAAACAAGTTATATATATCTATATACATACATAATGACTTTATAATAAAGCTATTCAGTTATCCATAATTAAATAACATGAGCTTGTATGTACTAGGATTTATAGTTATGATAACACTATAATTAAAATATATCTAGTGCTTAGAAGTATTAATACCAGAATTTATATCTCATACATGTGATAATATTATATGTATATACATATACATATATAAATTTTTACAAGCATTCATTTATATGACTTATAAGTTAAACTGTGACCCATACTGACTAAATTTTGCAATAACTATAATATATGTCGGCGCAACAACATTTAAAACCCTTATAAGGGGTAGTTGTTTCATAAGTATTTTATTTTAGAGGGTGAATATGACAAACAAATCACTAACGCCATTACGTTAGTGATTTCTTTAACAAAATTATTTGTTCTAGAGATCATTGTATGGTTTGTATTAAAGAATAGTAAAAGTTAATTCGTAAGGTGATTTGTAATATGTGACAATTATTCATTTAGCAACTTTTAGTAAAAAGGGAACTTAATTAGTAATCAAATCGTAATCAATGCTAATCAATTACAGTATTCTATAAACTGTTAAGTGGCAATATAAAGATTGGATGTTTTAATAATTTATTACTAAAACTAATGTAA